CTTAGAGCAAGTTACTTAACCTCTCTATATCTCTTAATCCATGTCTATCATGTTACAGATAAAGAGATTACCTCTATAAAGAGATTATCTCTAAGATTCTAACATCCTTAATGTTCAATGATTCATTAACGTTCACTTTCAGAATCTTCTTTGAAAGCTCTCTGTGTACAATAGGTCATCTTCCTATTGGGTTGGAGGGGAAGGTAGGCTGGGTTTACTAATATCCCTAAGTATAAACTAGCAAGAAGTTTTTATATGAGTTTTCTGAACTTCACCATGAAGTTGTTTAGGACTTTCTAGGTATCAGTTTTCATAGAATCAACTGTTAGAACTTTAAGGGATCTTAAAAAGCATCTAATTCAATCCCGTTTGTCTAAACAAATAAGGAAACTGTGAGGGCCAAATAGCCAGAGAAGTTAAAGTACTTGCCCAAGGTCATGGAACTAATTCAATGGTTTATTCATTCAACAGATCTTTATTCAGCTGCAAGATGCAGACACTAGTTTTCATTTCAAGTATCCTTATCCTCTACCAAAAGGGAAGCCTTCACTTCATACACAAAGGAGTCATTCATTACAAAATTCTCAGCATGTGGGGTTTGACTATAAAATATAATACTCCAAGTAATATGTGTAATTTTGTGGAATTGATAATTAGGAGATGTCAATAGGAGAAGTATTATCTTTTGATGAATTTCTCTCTTTTTAACCTTTTGCCACCGCCAAGGAGGTTTTGGGTGGATTTGTGAATTATTAAACTAGACTTGGGTAAGAAGATTAAGTTTTCATTACTAACACTTTCCTTCTGTGGGGAATTGTTCATAAATAACTCATTATGAAAGGGAGCTGTTTAAAGCAGGTAATTGCTCATTAAGAGGCCTCTGAAAAATAAAAACAAAGATTTTGAGTCAAAAGTCACTTCAAGATAATGTAGCAAGAATATTAATCTACCACTTTTATATTCAGAAGGAAAAGGTTAATGGGAATTTTAATGGAAGTGTGCCTTAATAGAATTTGAAGTCAGCAAATCTGAAATAAGCTGCTGTTTGGATACAGATCTAGAGAAGCTGGATCTATAAATGTTAAGTTAGTTAAAAGAAGAGAGCCCCAGTTGTCCTTTAAATATGACAGAAATGCAACCATTGTTATATTGCAGTTAGCATTTCAAAATGTTTTGTAATGGCTAATTAGCTGAAAAGTCCTTTTCAAATATGTTACTTATAATGTTGCCCAGTTCTTTGGTTCAAGAAACCAAGACTTGAGTTATTAAAGGCAGTTTCCCAAGAATAATCACAAAACTGATACATCCAAATATTGAGGTCAGATTTGGGAGAGAGGTTCAAGTGTGAAAGAATTCACTTAGACCACTTTCTCTTAACCAATGGGTGCTTTTTATTTTATGTGAAAAAGCATCACGGGCCTCATTAGTGAGAAGCTAATGAAAAGGCCCTAATATTTGGAAGGATCAGGCTTATATAGACATAAAGCAATACAGCCTGACAATGTTCAGGATGATGTAGTTTTAGGGTTTTATGGTGGTTAAAGATAAGGACGGGATAAGGAAGATGGGAAGTTTTATGACACAGGATGAGGGGGGAAAGGACCTCAAGTCACAGGATCTCAAGTTTCAGGAAGGGCTACAGAATGAGCCCCAATCCCCTCTCAGGAGGGTCTTCACAAAGTACTGGAAAAGCAACCCTTAATAATCTTTTTAAACCTTAGGGCACCAAATGCTATATCCACGTCACAAACTTAGATAGATCTTTACTAATGGCACGAAGATTGGCTATAGTCATCGCCTGTAACAGGTGGTAGATTCTAACAGTAAATATAATCCATTCTATACTAAATAGATATGTGTGTGGCCATTGTATGCCTCTTGGTAATTGGGTCTCATTGATTACTTTTTACATAGCTTGTAGACACAAAAACAGTCAACCATGTAGTTAATCAAATTAGGATTTCATGTTTCAATTTAAAGCCTCACATTGTCTTCCTGGCTAGATTTTTAGGAGAAAGGAGGTGGGGGGCTGGGGAAGTTGGTTACTACCATTTTTTAAAAAAGGTTTATTGATGCCTTTTTTTTTTTTTTTACTCTTTTGTGATTTCTTGTTCTCTTCATCCTTCTCTCTCTCTCTCTCTCTCTCTCTCTCTCTCACACACACACACATACACACACACAAACAATTTGAAACTACAAAAAAACCTCAGAGATTAACTAGTTCAACCCTTTGATTTTACAGATGAAGTGAGAACACAGGCTAAGTGACTTGCCCAAGGTCACACAGTGACAGAGTTGGAGTCCTCAGACTCCAAATCTAGCACTAAGAAGAGAGGAATTATGTTTCATAAATTGTCCTCAGAGTCCCAAACTGGTCATAAGAAAATCCTCTGGAATTTTTTTTTTTTTTTTTTTTTGGTAAAGATTAGTTGGCCTTGGTAAAGGCAGGACAACGAGGTGGCTCAAAGGATAGAGCAGTGTACTTAGAATCAGAAGCCTTATCTTCATGAGTCCAAATCTGACCTTAGACACGTCAACCCTGTTTGCCTCAGTTTCCTCATCTCTAAAATGAGCTGGAGAAGGAAATGGCAAACCACTCCAGTTTCTTTGCCAAGGAAACCCCAATGGGGTTACAAAGGGTTGGAAACACAACTGCAATGCTAAAGGCAAAATAATGCTAAATTAAGGGTTAGTTTTCTATAGTGATCAACAAAGCCAGCTTCTGGGGCACAGTTTTGGTTTTTTTTGTTTGTTTGTTTTTTGTTGAGGCAGTTGGGGTTAAGTGATTTGCCCAGAGTCACACAGCTCATAAGCGTTATGTATCTGAGGCCACATTTGAACTCGGGTCCTCCTGACTCCAAGGCTGGAGCTCTATCCACTGCGCCACCTAGCTGCCCCATGGGGCTCAGTTTTAATACCATAATCAAGACCTATTGGCAGTCCTTGAAAGCCTGGGTTCCTGGTGCTTACTTTTCATGTGACCACAGGCACTATAAATGGGAACCAGGAAACACAATTGTCATAAAGGGTTATAGTCCTTTCAACATAGTTTTTTTTTTTAATAGAATGTCAACGACTACTATATTTAATCATTTATCTGTTAATCAAGGATCCTTGGTTCATCCCAACCAGTGCAGATCCCAGGCCTTCTTGTAATCTTTAGTTTCAGAGAGTTAGCTGAAGCTCGCAGGGTTTAAATGGCAGTGGTCACACAGTGTCAGGAATGAGATTTGAACTCGGGCATCCCCTAGCCTTGATAGCTTTCAGTTATTTAATAAAATAAAAATTATACACCTGAATCCTGTATATAATAAAAATTGAAGTATATATCAATCAAGTAAGGCAATAGAGTAATCACATAAAATTTAATTAAGCGTTTTGAGGTCTCTGGGAAACAGGCCATGTAGAAAAGGGGAGGAGCCAAAGGGAGAAAACAGACAGCCACAGGCCTCTGGGGAGAGGAGTGAATTAGGCAGGGGGGAGTTCCAGGGTCCTGAACTGAGGAGAGAATGGGATCTTAGGGGCCAGGAAGTAGCCCAGCTCTGCAGTGCCTCCTTTAAGTGCCATAGTTAATAACATGGATGTCATTGCCAAAGCCTTGTTGACAAGTGTGAACCACTATAAATGGAATAATTGCAAGTGAAGAACTATTTGTCTTGGTTTGAATGCCAACACAGAGAGAAAGACTAAGCTTTTCTAGGAGCAGGGGGGGACACAAAGAGCAATGGATTGCTTCTCTGCGGGGATCTTAGTCCATTTGGGATGACATAGGAGCATGAACAAATGACTAACAATACTGGGTTGTGAGTGATGAAAATGAATGATTTTAGAAGGCAGATGAATCCTGTTAAAGACATATTTATATTCTTGTTAGGCAGACCATCCCCCCCTCCCTGATTTTTCCCTCCAGGATTTGGACTAATTCAGGGGATGTGCCAGGGCTACTTCTCACCAAAGTGTTCCTTGATATCACGGATAGCTACTTTTCACTAGTACTAACATTTGTTCTTTCGCTTATTGTTATGGAAAGTGATAAGCTTATAGGGAGAGGTGCAAAGTCCTATGAGAACTAGGAAAGAAAGGAGATATATCTCGTTGGAGGGGGAGGGGGTGGAGACATCCAAGAAGAATCAAAAAAAGTTTCAAGAAGGGAAGGGGATACCACTGAGCCTTGAAAGAGGGAGAGGATTTCAGCAGGCATCAGGAGCCATTTGATGGTTCCCAGTGTGAATTTTTCTCAGTTTACCAAACCCTGTGGTTTTTTTGTTTTTGTTTTTTTTTTTAAATATAGCCTGCCTTCGCTCCTAAATGTGCTCTGGGTTGTTAGACCTTTAGCCTGATAGCTCTGCTGATAAATGGTTAGCCGGTTATTAGAAGCCTAGTATCAGATAAGTGTCTCCCTGTGAGCTCATGTGGATGAGATGTCTTTCTCTTATTAATGTTTAACTTACAGTAACACCACTAGGGAGTTTGTTAAAAGGTAGTTAGGTTTCCTGTTTTGTATTTTTTAATATTTACCTAAAAATAATAGAATAAAATTGTGCATTCAAATGTAAAATTTTGTCTTTTAAAAAAGAAAAACATAGGCATCAGGTTTGCTGTTTTTTAAATACTCACCTGAAAATATTAAAATGAAATTGTACATTCAGATGTAAAATTTTGTCCTTTTAAAAGAAAAACACAGGCATCAGGTTTGCTGGTTTTTTAATAATCCACGTACAATTTTATCCTTTAAAAAATGGGCATCTGATATTAGTTCTCCATTTCTATGTGATTGAAATACAAAAGATCAGTCCCTGTAACCATGAGTGTGTTAAAGAAGAGTAGATTAGACGTCGGCTCCATTCAGTATTTTCTTGCAACCCTCTCTTTTTAAATCAGAAGTCAATGTCTTTGCGATATTTTTCCAGTACCACTTTGTATGTTCAAATGCCACACCCTCTGCACTTAATTCTTAAGACTTAACCATTCCTTTTCTTTCCTTGCTCTTCACAATGTAGGTGAATAGTGCTAATGACCCTTGGTCAAACTGGAATGCTGGCAAATCTGGGAACTGGGAAAGCACAGATGGTTGGGGAACCAAACCAGAAGGTGCCTCTGCTCAGAAGAACACTTCCAACAACTGGGATGCTGCCTTTGGCCATCCACAGGCCTACCACGGGCCAGGTGAGAGAAGGCTCTTCTGAGCCCTTAAAGGAACCAGGTCATCCACCTTCAATACACATTTTCATGCATGTTAAACAGTCCCTCAGGACTACTTTACTGGGAGAATCCACAAACACTCTTTGTTCTGCCCTCACCAGATGTTGGCGGTTGATGTTCTTTTCAAAATACAGACAAATGTCAATTATCCACAAAGGGATCATCTGCTTTGTAACACCTGAGGATGTCTCCACCTCCTTTACTGCACATTTGGGCCTTAGGACTACAGCATAGAAGGACTCAGGCTCTTTTTGTGTCCCAAAGCTAAATTTAAGTCTCATCTTTACCAGTCTTTCCTCTGCTATTGGTTGATGTGATTTGTGCCACTCTGTGCCCAGGGTTAGCGCAGGGAATTGAAAACTGACAGTATGACAAGAAACTTTGATAGGCACAACATGGAGGCGGCCTTTTGAATCAAAGCAGAAGTAGTCAAGAGTGCCTAGAAGTCCAGACTGCTGGCTGATTCTGGGAACTCCTCTTCTAGAATTCTCTGTTTTCTTCTTCCTTCACTTCCGTAAATCTCTTCGTTTCTGCATAATAAGGCTGAGTGCCTAAATTCCTCATCCTCTCCATGTAGAAACAGCCCACTTTAAAAGGAAGTTTGAAAGGAAGCATAAATCAGCAAGACAGTTTTGAAAGTAACCTCTGGAACTATATCTTCTTTTTAAAAGGGAAGGAAATATGAAATGGAGATTCATGGTTTCCTACATAGCACTTTTTTGTGTTGCACCGTGTTTGGGTTTTGTGTTTGGAAATGCTCTTTTTTGTGACTGTTTAAGTTCGGAATAAAAAATATAGTGAAACAAAAACAAAAAAAAAAAGACGCCTGCTGCCTTTCACCAGGGAAGCAACATCGCAGATTAGCTGGGATGTTGGCACAGACTGAACGTGGAAATTGGAAAAAAGGGAGGGAGCTCTGCCTGTCAGGGGCACCACTATTTCCCCAGAGAATCTTAGCATTAGAAGTCATTTAGTGAGACCTCCAGGCCTGGGCAGGAATCCCCCTCCCCCTCCTCAGCATATGTAAGAGGTGGACATTCAGGCAGAGGATGGGTGACACCCTACCCCACCCCGACGCCAGCCAAAGATAAGGAAAGATCTTATTAATTCACTAGGCAGCCCACTGACTTTTGGGGTAACCCTGATTGTGAGAAAATTCTTCCTTTATTGAGTCAGAAAGGTCTGCTCTGGGGGCAGCTAGGTGGCGAAGTGGATAGAGCACTGGCCCTGGAGTCAGGAGGACCTGATTCCGCCTCAGACACGTAACACTTAGTAGCTCTGTGACTCTGGACAAGTCACTTAACCCCAATTGCCTCGCCAAAAAAAAAAAGAAGATCCACTCCATTGCTCGTATTTGCAGTTCCCCTAGACTTACACAGAGTGAGTGCCATGTTATAATACTGTGCAAACTGTAACTCTAATTTAGAGTCAGAGCTTTTCTACTTACTTCCTCTGTGACCTTAGGCAAGTAACCTCTCCAAGCCTCAGTTCATTTGTAAAATGAGGGGAAAAGAAGGGGAATAAGTATTTTTATAGCACCTACTGCATGCCAGGCACTGTACTTAAGCCCTTTACAAATATTATCTCATTTAATCCTCACCACAACCCTATGAAGTAGGTGCTGTTATTATCCCCATTTTACAGTTGAGGAAACTGAGGCAAACGGAAATTAAGTGACTTGCCCAAGGTCACACAGCTAGGAAACCTCTGATGGCCCATCACTCTATATCCACAGAGCCACCCAGCTGCTTCTAAAATGAAGAGGCTGCACTAGATGGCTCTGTGCTCTCTCTTCCCGATGACACCTGTCTTCAGGTATTTGATGACAACTCTACTGTCCCTCTGAGTTTGTCTTCTTTAAGCTAATTAGTCCAATGGCAGTTTCAAATCTCCCCACTTCCCTGGTTCCTCTATTCCTCTAGAATAGTTTTTTTGGTCCATGCCTTTTACATTCTGAAGAGAGCGTAGGTGTGGCCTGTCCTCTTCTGGGTCCATCCTTCCTGCTTGTGAATGCTGAACTTCTAATGACGAATCATAAAATTATGTTGAACGTTGTGATTCAGTGGAAAGAGCATGAGACTTGGAGCCAGCTAAGGCCTTGCTTGATTCAAGTCCCATCTCTGATACTTACCGCGTTTCCATGGCTACGTGTCTTAGCCTCTCGGAGCCTCTGTTTCCTCATGTGTAAAATGACGATAGTAAAACCTGTAATAGCTACCTCCCAGGGCTGTTGTAAAGATCAAACGACATGGTGTGTACAGAGCACTTTGTAAACCTCAACAGTCTATAAAAGGCAGCTGTCATCATTATTGTCTTTATTATTATTATTAGCCTCCCTGAAAACCACATTACATATTGGCTTGTTCCAAGCTTATGGCCAGCTAAAACCTTGTCTTTCCTTGTTCAGAACGCCTTGGTGTTCATGTTTCCTTTCTTTCTTCTTTCTCTCATATCCAGTGAAGCCCCCTAGAGTCTGCCTCTGTAATTTCTCTCAAACCCATCCCCTCCTCACAGTTCCCACTGTTAACACCTTAGTGTGGGCCTCTGTTACCACCTGTCTGGGCTATAGGCCTCTAACGTTCTTTCTCCCCTGCTCCAGTCTATGCTTCCTAGTCCCACAACCTGGCATAAAGTCCCACCAGCTCATATTATCACTCCCCCTTTTCTCTCTCCCCCCTTTCCTCCCTCTTCCTTTCACCAGACTGGAAGTCACAAGCCAGTTCATACTCTGATTGGCATAAAAGCTTTGACCTTCATTTTTCCAAACTGGGACTTCATACCTCTCTTTGGTCAGACTGGTGGCCCTTTGCTTCTGGAGCCTCACCGTATTGGGGCTTAACTAAATTCAAGGACTCAGTCGGCTCTAGTCCTACTATCACTCAGAGCTCTGGAGCTCAACCAATTCACCAGCCTCAGCTTCCCCAAGCAGCAAGAGTTACAGGCTTTCATCACCACACCCAGCATCGTTCTACTTTTCTTTCTTTTTTAAAAAAATTTTATTTTTTAAAATTTATTTTATTTTTAGTTTTCAACTTTCACTTCCATAAGATTTTTGAATTAAATTTTCTCCCTCTTTCACCCCCCACCCCCACAGCACGAAATCCAATATAGGCTTTACATACACATTCTTGTTAAGCATATTTTCCCATTAGTCGTGATGTAAAGAACAATTAGAACTAATGGGAAGAACCACGAGAATGAAGCAATAAAACAAAACAGCAAAGGAAAAGGAGAGCAATTAGTATGCTTCCGTCTGCATTCAGACGGAATTTCTTTCTAATTCTTTCTCTTGGTGTGGATAGCGATTTCCATCATGAATCTTTTGTCGTTGTCTTAGATTCTTGTGTTGCTGTGAAGAGCCAGGTCTATCAAAGTCAGTCATCCCATAATATGGCTGTTACTGTGTACAATGTTCTCCTGGTTCTGCTCATTTCACGCTGAATCCGTTCATATAGATCTTTCCAAGTGTTTTTGAATTCTATCTGCTTATCATTTCTCATAGCACAATAGTATTCCATTACATTTATATACCACAACTTGTTTAGCCATTCCCCAGTTGATGGGCATCCCCTCAATTTCCAATTCTTTGCCACCACAAAAGAAACTGTTATAAATATTTTTGTACATGTGGATCCTTTTCCCATCTTTATGATCTCTTTGGGATACAGCCCTCGAGGTGCTATTGCTGGGTTAAAGGGTATGCACAGTTATATAGCCCTTTGGGCATAACCCCAAATTGTTCTCCAAAATGGTTGGATCATTTCACAATTCCACCAACACTGTATTAGTGTTCCAGTTTTCCCACATCTTCTCCAACATTTATCATTGTCCTGTTTTGTCATGCTATCTGTCATTTTAAGGAAGACTCCATTTATTCCTATGCTCTCTAGTGTTTTTAATAGGAATGGGTGTTGTGTTTTGTCAAATGCTTTTTTCTGCATCTATTGAGATAGTCATATGATTTCTGTTAGTTTTGTTGTTGATATGGTCACCTATGCTGATAGTTCTCCTAATATTGAACCAGCCCTGCATTCCAGGTCTAAATCCTACCTGGTCATAGTGTATTATATGTTATCCTCAAGATAAGTTGTTGTAATCTCTTTGCTAATATTTTATTTAAAATTTTTTCATCTATATTCATTAGGGAAATTGGTCTATAATTTTCTTTCTCTGTCTTGGCTCTTCCTGGTTTAGGTATCAGCAACATATCTGTGTCATAAAAAGAATTTGGTAGGCCCCCTTCACCTATTTTCCCAAATATTGTGTATAGTATTGGAATTAGTTGTTCTTTAAATGTTTAATAGAATTCACTTGTAAATCCATCTGGCCCTAAAGATTTTTTTCTTAGGGAGTTCATTGATGGCTTGTTCAATTTCTTTTTCTGAAATGGTGTTAAGTATTTTATTTCCTCTTCCGTTAATCTGGGCAATTATATTTTTGTAAATATTCATGCATTTCATTAAGATTGTCAAATTTATTGGCATATAGTTGGGTGAAATAGCTCCTAATTATTGTTTTGATTTCCTCTTCATTGGTGGTGAATTCACCCTTTTCATTTTTGTTGCTGGTAATTTATTTGTTTGTTTTTTTAATCAAATTAACCAAAGGTTATCATTTTATTGATTTTTTTTTCCATAAAACCAGCTCTTAGTTTATTTATTAGTTCAATAGTTTTCTTAATTTCAATTTTATTAATCTCTCCTTTGGTTTTCAGAATTTCTAGTTTGGTATTTATTTGGGGATTTTCAATTTGTTCTTTTTCTAGCTTTTTTGTTTGCATGCCCCATTCATTGATCTCTTCTTTCTCTATTTTATTCATATAAGCATTTAGAGATATAAAACCTCCCCTAAGGACTGCTTTTGCTGCATCCCATAAGTTTTGGTATATTGTCTCATTATTGTCATTCTCTTGGATGAAGTTATTGATTGTTTGTATGATTTGTTGTTTGGCCCATTCATTCTTTAGGATTAGATCATTTAGTTTCCAATTAATTTTTAGTCTGTCTTTCCATGGCCCTTTATTACATGTAATTTTTATTTCATCATGATCTGAAAAAGATGTGTTAATATTTATGCCTTTCTGCATTGGATTGTGAGGTTTTTATGCCCTAGTACATGGTCAGTTTTTGTGTAGGTGCCATGTACTGCTCAGAAAAAGATATATTCCTTTCTGTCCCCATTTAGTTTTCTCCAGAGGTTAATCATATTTAACTTTTCTAAGATTCTATTGATCTACTTAACTTCTTTCTTGTTTGTTTTGTGGTTAGATTTATCTAGTTCAGAGAGGGGGAGGTTGAGGTCCCACACTAGTATAGTTTTGCTGTCTGTTTCTTCTTGTATCTCCCTTAACTTCTCCTTTAGGAATTTGGCTGCTATACCACTTGGTACATATATGTTTAGCCATGATGTTACTTCATTATCTGTGGTACCTTTTAGCAGGATATAGTTTCCTTCCTTATCTCTTTTAATTAGATCTATTTTTGCTTTTGCTTTGTCTGAGATCAGGATCGCTACCCCTGCCTTTTTTACTTCAGCAGAAGCGTAATATATTCTGCTCCAGCCTTTTACCTCTGTATCCCTCTGCATCAAATGTGTTTCCTGTAGACAGCATATTGTAGGTTTATGGTTCTTAATCCACTCTGCTATCTGTTTCTGTTTTATGGGAGAGTTCATCCCATCCACATTCACAGTTATGATTACTATCTGTGTCTTCCTCTCCATTCTATTCCCCTTCCCCCTCGTTTATGCTTTTTTCTCTCCTTTTTCCTTTTCCCTCCTCAGTAGAGTTGTGGCTTCAACCACCGTCTCCTTCAGTCTCCCCTTCCTTCTATTAGCCCCGCCTCTCTTTTCCCTTTACCCTTTCTATTTCCTATAGGGTAAGTTAGATTTCTGTACCTAACTGATTATGATATTCCCTCTTTGAACCAAATGTGATAAAAGTAAGGTTCAAACAATGCTCATCTCCCTCCCTTCTTTCCCTCTAATATTCTTGGTTTTTATGCCTTTTCATGTAATGTAATCAATCCTTGTCTGCCTTCTCCTTTCTTTTTCTCCCAGTACAATCCCTTTTCTCCATTTAATTAGATTTTTTACCATCCCATCAAAGTAAACTTAAACCCAGCCCTCTGTCTAAGTATACCCCCTTTTAAATGTCATGATGACAATACAGTTACAAATATCATCTTCCCTTGTGGGGATGTAAACAGTTTACCCTCATTGGTAATATAATGGGGGTTTTTTTCTTTCCTGTTTAACTTTTTATACTTCTCTTAAGTCTTGTATTTGAAGGTCAAATTTTCTGCTGAGCTCTGGTCTTTTCATCAAGAAGGTTTAGAAGTCCCCTATTTCATTGGATGTCCATTTCCTCCCCTGAAAGATTATGCTCAGTTTTGCTGGGTAGTTGATCCTTGGTTGTAATCCAAGCTCCTTTGCCTTATGGAATATTGTATTGCATGCCCTCTGATCTTTTAATGTAGAAGCTGCAAGATACTGCATAATCCTGACTGGGGTTCCATGATATTTAAATTGTTTTTTTCTGGCTGCTTGCAGTATTTTCTCTTTGATCTGTTGTTTTGGAATTTAGCTACTGTATTCCTTGGCATTTTCAATTTGGGATCTCTTTCAGGAGGTGATAGGTGGATTCTTTCCATGACTAATTTGCCTTCTGGTCCTTGGACCTCAGGTCAGTTTTCTTTGATGATTTCCTGGAGGATATTGTCCAGATTCTTTTTTTCATCATGGTTTTCCAGTAGACCAGTAATTTTTAAATTGTCCTTCCTGGATCTATTTTCCAGGTCAGTTGTTTGATCAATGAGGTATTTTATGTTTTCTTGTATTTTTTCATTCTTTTGTTTCTGTTTGACTGATTCTTGCTCTCTCGTAGTCATTAGCTTTCACTTGCCCCTTTCTAATTTTTAAGGAGTTGTTTTCTTCTATTGGATTTTGTACTTTCTTTTTCATTTGGCCCGTTTTACTTTTTAAGGAGTTCTTCTCTTCATTGAGTTTTTGTGCCTCCTTTTCCATTTGACCAATTCTACTTTTTAAGGACTTGTTTTCTACAGTTAATTTTTGTCCTTTCCTTTTCAAGCTATTGATTCTCTCTTGCATACCTCTCATTTCTTTTCCCAATTTTTCTTCTACCTCTCTTATTTGACTTTTAAAATCCTTCTTGAGCTCTTCCAAGAAGGCTTTTTGGGCTTGAGACCACTTCGTATTCCCCTTTGAGGTTTCGTATGTGGGTATATTAACAATGTTGTCCTCTTCTGAATTTGTGTCTTGATCTTCCCTTTCCGCAAAATAAGAATCTATGTTCATTTTCCCTTTCTGCTTTTTTTTCATGATGTTTGCCTATTCTCTGACTTTTTACCAAAAAAAAAACAAAAAACCCAAAACTGTTGAGTTCTCCTGCTGGAGTGAAGGGGGCACTTACTTAGTGCTTCTTTTCCTACTCCCTGGGGCCTTGCACTTGAATGTTTGGCTCCTGGTCACCTGGGCCTTGCACAGGGATGTTTTGCTGCTGCTGAGTTTCTGTCAGCCTGAAGCTTTCCTTCTGGAGTGTTGTGTTTCTCAGAGTTGTGTTGAGGGACTGGGTAATTCCACTTCTGGAGAACGCTGTCACCTGTGGTCATTTTCCGAGTTGGTGTTTACTAGTTCCCCTTCCTGTGTTGAGGTTCTCAGGGATCCTGGTGGTAGCATTTGCCTGTTCCACCATGGGTCTTAGGATCTCCCAGTGGTATGCTGAAGTGGGGCTTGCCGCTGGTTTGCTGGGACATCTCCAATCCTGTACTGCTCCCCCTCCCCCAGAGCGAGAAAGGCCTTTCCTGTTAATCCCCCCAAGCTTCCTGGGGTACAAGATTGCTGTGCCCTGCCTTTTTGCTGGCTCAGGGTTTTTCCTGGGTCGGTATTTTCTGGGCTTTCAGAAGTCAGTGAGGGAGAGTAAGAGCAGCTTATTTCCTACTCTGCCAATCCTCCATTCTGCCGTTCAGGTTGTTATCTCATACGGTTTCTTTCCGTATGTCCTATACTTCGTCCAGATTGGTCCACTCACATTTGCTAATGTACCTCCATACATCAGGTTCCCTGTATTTGGAATAGCCTCCCCTCCACCTTGAATTCCTACTCATCTTTTAAAGCCCATATTGCATTATAGCTTAACAAAATTAACCTTGAGAGACTTACCTAGCTGCGCCATCAAGATGGGAACAAAGTCCTATGAACATAGGACAGGTGGTACCAAGAGGTGGGAGAAGAAGACAAAAGAAACATGAGAGACAATCTTCCCATTTCAAAATTTTGTCTCACACCTTCCCTGCCAGGTTATACTGTTTGAGATGAGAACATGAGGGTGAAAAGACTCGTTATATCTGAAAACATTACTCTATATTCACCATCCTTCTACTCCATCTTCTTATAATTGGCTGTTACCTTTTCCTATGGGCACCAGAATGAGGATGATCTGTTTTCTTTCTCTTCTGTTCCTCACAGCAGCTGCCGGGGATGAGGATGACTGGGATGAAGATTGGGATGACCCCAAGTCATCACCTCCTACTTATTTTAAGGATGTAGAGTCCACTGAGGCCGGTGGGGCCCAACGAGGCAACGCTCGTGCTAGTGGTGCTTCTATGAAGATTCCACTTAACAAGTAAAGTCAAAAAAAAATCTTGGTTCTTTTAGTCTTGAATATTAACTTGAAAGTTTATTTGTAGGAGCAGTCTTTTTTTTTTTTTTAACAGTCTCTTTCTATTGAATTTAATGACATTTGAGAGGCAGCCTAGCTTAGTGTACAGAGCACTGGACCTGGTGTCAGAAAGACCTAGGTTCAAATCCTCCCTCAGATACTAAGTGACCCAGGGCAAGTCATTTAACTTCTCTGAACCTAGTTTTCTTCTAAGTACAGTGAGGGAGTTAGGGTTTCTAAGGTCCCTTCAAGCTCTAAATCTGATCCTGTTCTATAATCCTGTCATCTGAATCCCTAGAATATTCAGAGATACTGTTAAAAACTCATTAAATATTGAGCTTTGCCTCAGGATGTCAAATGAAAAAAACTACAGCATATCAAGCTTAATTCCATTTTAGTTTTCTTCCATTCTACTGATACTTTTGAAAGTAAATAACCATCAGGGGTTGCTGCTTTATTTTGTTGTTGCTGTTTAATTAACCTTTTTACCTGGTAGTTTACATTTTTAATAAAATTATTTGTAGAAGCATTCCTTATTGGGAAGGTGTGGTAACATAGTGCATTTTTATCATACTGGGATTTTAGGGTAAGAAACACTGAGAAATAGAATTTATGACTTTCTTGAGATTCAGCCAGCAGTATTCCTCTGACGAACAACTTTGTGACTGATATTTACAAAAACCTCATTGATTTCATTTTAATCTTAGTAGTATTCACAGTCCATTTTTCAGTGTAGGTGTCATAAAGTTGTCCTATGTCTGAAAATCATTAAAAGCAGCATAGTAAATTGTGTGGTTAATGAATATAACCTGGGGCAGCAAGGTGACATAATGTATAGAGTGGCAGGCTTGGAGTCAGGAAGGTTCATCTTCTTGAGTTCAGATCTGGCCTCAGACACTTACTAGCCTTGTGACCTTGGGCAAGTCACTTAACCCTGTTGCCTTGCTTTCCTCAGCTGTAAAATGAGCTGGAGAAGGAAATGGCAAACCACTCCAGTATTTTTGCCAAGAAAACCCCAAATGGGGTCACTTCAAGTCAGACACAACTGAAAAATGACTGAACAAAATAAATAAAACACATAAATTTAGTAACTCTTATTTAGACTTCAGCCTATTTGTTACCTCATTTAAATTAGCATATTTTGATTGCATAATTAAATTCATTAACCATTTGTTAAGCCCAGGTTCTGTACCATACCAAAGTGAAATAGTCTCCACCCTCAAGTCAGCAATATGTACATAGGTAAATAAATACAGAAAATATATAAAGTCATTTTGGGAAGGAGGAAGTGCTCGCAAGTAAGAGAATCAGAGAGGGCCTTGTATAGGAGGTAACACCTTATCTGAGAACATGACAGGCACAAGGTATAGAGGTAGGAAATGGAATGATACCTAAGGGAAACAGCCTTGGGCTAGAACATGGAATTCATGGGAAGTGAATAAATATGTAATAAGCCTAGAAAGGTCAACTAATGCCATACTTTTAATAAATTTGCCTTCTCTTTGTGACATTGTTCAATTTTGTGTTTAATTACATATATGCAAAATAAAGCCATTCACTGACAACTTTTTAAAATGCATTTTTAAAGTAGTAGATATAGTTAATAATTTTTATTGAAATTTTATTATTAAGATTCTGACAAATTTTTTTTTCACATATTAAGCTGAAAATAAGGGCTGTTTAAAGTCCCAGCAAGTTTAAATATGTCTTAAAAGACCACTAAAGGGTAGGGTTAACATTTAATTTTGTCAGTGTAATGAGGCAGTATCATATATTGATGTTTTTCTGCTGCTAAGTGAATTTTTACATGTGGAAAAAGAAAAACTTAAATTTTCCATTGGTTTGAAAGCCTTCATTTTACAATGATTTTCTATTAAAAATGGCATTAATTTTATTTCTTTCGTGAATTATTAGGAGGCAGCTCCTAATGGTATAGTGGTGGTATAGTGGATAGAGTGCTGGACTTGGAGATTGGAAGACCCCAGTTCGAATCCTGCCTCAGACACTTAGTAACTGTGTGACCCTGGGCAAGTCACTTAACTTCTATAAGCCTCAGTTTCCTCATCTGTAAAATGGTGAGAACAATACCGCCTATCTCATAGAGTTGTTATAAAGATCAAATCTGTTAACACACGTAAAGTGCTTTGCAGATGTTAAAATGCTATATAAATGCTTTTATTTTTAGAGAAATACAGGCATATAAAATTAAAATAAAAGCCATTCTTCTCCAAAATAAAAGTTTTATTAGTTGCCCAGAAAGCACGAAAAAGTACTATAGCATTCCTCAAGTTGCTGTGTTTGAGTTGGATGAACGTCTTCCTTGCTAATTGCCAGTCATTAAATTACTTCTGGGTTATGTAGTTTCTTAAAAATTAAGATAACTGGAAAAGAGGAAAAGAGTATCAGTATAAAAAGGATTGAGGATTATGAAAAGCAACTTAATGAAGTTATTTAAAAGATCTGAAATTTGGAAATAGCACTGTGACTTTGAGTAGCTCACTTTGCCTATCTCTGAGACTCACTTTCCTCATCTGTAAAATGAAGGTGTTGAACTCTGTGATCTCTGAAATCCTTTCCGACTCAAAAATTCTTTTTGACTCTAAGAACTCTTCTTCTGTGACTTATATTTTGTTAAATTTATAAAGTTAATATAATAACCTACTTGCTAACTGTTTGTCCTGTGTTCTGGACAAGCACCATGACATGCAAGTGAAATAGATTTAGGTGAGGGAGGGCTGTGCAAAGTCACCAGCCTCACTTTTCTCCTCCGGAGCCATCTAGGTCCAGTGGTCAGATATAGATCAGGACTACTGATCTATATATGAGAAACCCCAGGATGCAAGAGGGAAACCTTGGCCTTTTTAAGCTAAGGTCTTTAACAGGTCTCAGTTTGACTGAGGCAACACCCATTCAGGGATATAAGACTAGGTAAGAAATGAGACATAGAATGGCCTCTTTTACCTAGTCAAAAAAAAAGAAAGAAAGAAAGAAAAAAATAATCAAACTGGGTGGGAAAGACCCTCTAGGTTTCTGGCTAAAGAGGAACAATTACTATTTACATTCATTCTGAGCCATCAGGGCCAAAACAATAACCATTGAGTGGTGCTTTGGTAGACCCAATCAATGTTGTTGGCCAGTCAGTGAGAGCCTGAATGAATTGGGTTTAAGGCAAGGTCTTTAAAAAAGAAATCTAAGCAGCTTGGAGGCACACTGGATAGAGCACCTGCCCTGGAGTCAGGAAGACCTGAGTTCAAATCCGGCCTCAGACACAGCTTACTAGCTGTGTGACCCTGGTCAAGTCACTTAACCCCAATTGCCTCACACAAAAAAAAAAAAGGAAGAAAAAGAAATCTAGCTAGTAAATCCCAAGGATTCAGCCTTCAAAATTTACCTTCCTTTCAGCAGAACACCTCAGGTAAGGATATGATACCCCATGTGGAGAGTGGAGGGGCAAAGTTGCCCAACTGGGCCTGATACTATGTAAATGTGGTAGAGTTCTTTGGGTGCGGGGCTTAAAGAGTTAAATGCAAGGCATCCCAATTCTATATGCAGAGAGGCCCTGTGCATCTAAAGCTAACCCAGATTGTAGGTTGGGACTTGAGACAGGAAAGAAGAGCAATCAGTACTGTCTAGGACCTTGGTTGGAGCTAATGTGTATTTGGGGACAAAGGAGATAATAAAACTAACTTAAGTTCCCTAGGCATTCAGGTTCTTTTTCCCAGCTTAATTCTAGACTTAGCCAGAGAGGATGAAGTATGGTGCATCAATGCATCTTTCAGGTCCATTCCAAAGTAGACCTGTACTTCTAGGTCTCAATTGTGGCCTTAATCCTTGGACTTTCCTAGAATTGACCCCCTTTTTTTAGAGAGTTAAGAATGTTTTAAATCATGTGATATTGTGTAAATCATTTTTTAATCTGTTAATGTACTACCAGTGAGGAGTATCTATACTAAAATTGTTTAACACTAAACATTTTAGCTCTGTGTATTAACATTTGCTTTCCAGCTTTGAACCAACTTTCGTTTGGTTCTGTACTGATTTGTGGACTCTAAAATACTGGGTCAAATTAACATAAAGTTGAGCTCATTGTAGAAAATGTCACCTTTTTCTAAATTTACCACTCCTTCTAAGACTAGAATGTGACCATTTTTGGTGAAGCCATAAAATGACATTTCAATCAATCCAGTTACATCCCAGTAGTTGGTTGGTGGGGATGCAGAATAAGTAGTAGACAAAGACCCTGCTCTCAAGGACCTAACAGAATATTGCACAGAATGTGTTTAAGACTAGGAATGAGATTCCAAAGATGTGCCCAACAATGGCGACAGCAGTGTAGTAGGTAAAGGAAAAGGGATCTTGATTGAGCTGAATTGTATTGTTTTGGTCAAAGAATCAAAGATGCCAGTATTACTGTGAAGCAAAGAAAGATCTTTCCGTACTAAAGAAGGCCCTTGTAATAAGAATGTTCCAAGTTAGCATGCTTTTATGAGATCTACATTATAATGACTTATTTGAAAAATTACTACCAAGAAAAAAACCCCACCAAAGCTAAACACCCAAATAAAGGCATCCCCTTCTCAATAGTGACCTTTGGGAGATTGCTTGCTTATGTCATGGCTGTTGATATTGCTTAAATGGTCTTTGTAATAGCTTTCCAAGTCTGTAGCACTTCAAATATCCAGTTCCCAAAGAGGCTTTCCAAAGATGTTTTGAGTAATGGGATTAACATTGGAGTAATTTAATTATACCCCCACCCTGACCCAAATGCCAATTTTAGGAACCCTCATTGAAATGCATAAGTCCTTGAATGCTTGTTTAAATAAAATAATCAGTCTCCTTTCTCGTTAATCACACCTCAGTATGTGGCCAACTCAGGCTGCTAAGAGTTCCCTCCTGTAATCTGAATGAAATTTACCAAATTGTCCTATTGCCCTTCTTTGGGTGATAGAATTTTGTAGATTTAAGATAAACAGTGTCCCTGTAAATGTAGCACCTTCTGGAATAAAACTATTTTCTTAGTAGCTGCAGCTTGATTAAATGACTAATTGGCCATTGAGCAATCTGATTAGACTGGGTATCACTTACCACACCACTGTTTCTAGTGCGTCTATCTGAAAGACAAAACAAGGTGAAAATTGTTTCTAAAAAGCAAATGGGAATGGAAGGATTTGAATTCTTATAAGGAAAGATTGGGGAGCTCAACAGCATTTTATTCATTTATTTCTGTAATTAGATTTCCTGGATTTGCAAAACCTGGAATGGAACAATACTTACTGGCAAAGCAGCTAGCAAAACCCAAAGAGAAAATTTCCATCATTGTAAGTTTTTGGTTATTTTGTGTTTTTTTTTTTCCTTCCTTTAAACTGTTTTAATGATAATTTCAGTACTAAGAGAATTGTTTCCTTTGTGAAAGGTCTAAGATATACATACCCTAAATAACTGACATTATCCTTTAGTATTTAAGAATGCTAGAGATAATTAGGCTATTAGTGCCTTCATCTATGCTATTTAGATCTGTTTTCTTTCTCTTTTTAAGACCATTAGTAGTAAGAGTATGTAACTATAGATCACTTTGGAAAATCCTTTTTATCAGACCTTTGAGATGAGTTGATAAGCTTAATTTTTATGCCTCAGTTTATAGCCTAGAAAAATAAACATGCAGTATCAGAACATAGCACCTTCTCTAATGTCTACAGTAATCAGACTTTTTTTTTACCAGTCAGCCATCTGTAACATGAAGATAAGAAATGATCAGATTAAAAAACTGGTATTTAACGATACCATTGAGGATATTAGTCTGTGTCCTTTACTTAATATTTACACAGCTCACACATAAAGCATTGGGATTTCATCCACAAATTATGAAAGATAAGAATGCCAGATAGCTCAGGACATCCCAGCTGTGTGTCCTAAAATAAATGTATTTCAGGAATGGGAGCTGTGGATATATGCTGTCCCTATTCACTTACCCAGATTGGTTTGATGACTGAAGAAGCCTTTATCATAATAACCACAAGCACCAAATGAAGATAGAGAACACCATCCACCTTAGTTCATCCTCTATCACAAGATGTTGGTGGAGGAGCAGAAGTTATAAAACCTGTGTTCTTCCTTACTTGCACCCTCAGTCTTTTGATAAGCTTTGCAATTCTGTGAATTTCCAAAGTGGGAAAATGAGGCTAAGATTTCTCAGCGGTCTGCTACTCCCATAACCATGTTGGGAGCAAAGGACCAGGGTTTACCGTCATTAGCCTACTACAGAGTAGTAGGCTGTCACCATCTCTGATAAGTGTGCCAAAGGCCTGAATCCCTAATTATGTCATACAAGTTCAGGGGTAGGAAATTTTATTTTAAAGGGGCAGCTAAGTGGTGCAGTGGATAGAGCACCGGCCCTGGAGTCAAGAGGGCCTGAGTTCAAACCCAGCCTCAGACACATGATATTCACTAGCTGTGTGACCTTGGGAAAGTAACCCTGATTGCCTTACCCAAAAAAAAAAATGATCTGGTAGGAAATTTTATTTTAGAGTTCCCCTTCCTAGTGAAGGTAAACTAGTAAACCCAAAAGCGTTCTAACTTAAATTTATGTGGAATTTAGAATGAAAACAAATTTATACTCATAAATAAAGCATTCTTTGAGTATGGCATGTAATAAGGAAAAAAGATCTGACCCAGGATGTACGTATGTTACCTCCGTGAGATGTATATAGCAAAGAGATTTCTACTTGGAAGGGGCTTCTGTCCTGAAAAGAAAATTTTTGATCATGGACTGATTAGGATCTTTATGCTTGTCTGAAATGAAAATAATTTTTTTGTGGGACATTCTGCGTGCAGGTTGGAGATTATGGCCCAATGTGGGTTTACCCCACCTCTACATTTGACTGTGTTGTAGCAGATCCCAGGAAAGGCTCCAAGATGTATGGTTTGAAGAGTTACATCGAGTATCAATTAACAGCCACTGTAAGTGCCTCAAACATTTGTCAGAGCTAGAAGTGTGTCCAGCTTTCTTTCTGTGCATGGTGTTTATTTACTTGTTTTTCTCTTTCTCTGTCTGTATTTTACAGAACACTAATCGGTCTGTCAACCACAGATATAAGCACTTTGACTGGCTCTATGAGCGCCTTCTAGTTAAGTTTGGGTCAGCCATTCCAATCCCTTCCCTCCCGGACAAGCAGGTTACAGGTGAGTATATTGCAGATCTGAGCCCAGCAATTATAGAACAACTTGGAGAAATGAGGGTTGATCCTGCTGTATATCCAGTCTTTGAATTTGAAAAAGGCATCAGGGGAATCATAAAATGTCCATAGCAGTGAGGTGGTGCCACCGTGCAAATAGCCCTGGGCCTGGAATCTGGAAGAACCCAGTTTGAACCCTGACACGGAACACTTACTAGCTGGGTGACTCTGGACAAGTCACTTGGCCCCTGTTTGACTCAGTTTTCTTATTTGTAAAATGGGGGGTAATAATAACACCTCCCTCCCAGGGTAATTAATGAAATAATATTTGTAAAGTACTTAGTGCCTGGCATATAGTAAGTGCCATGTAAACGTTAGCTATTATCGTTGTTCTTGTTATCTTACTAATACTTTTATAATTATTCCAAATAGAGATACCATTTGGCTTTTCCCTACTCTTGTGAAATAGTAGTAGTGGAAGTTGCCTGGAGGAGCAGAGTATGTAATTTGGAAGAAATTCTTAGTGGGAAGTCTATCATTATTATCATTTATTATTACTATTATTATTTTAAAGCCTGCTGGAAACTCTGAGGCCCTCCTGATCTTTCTCAGGGGCCTTCAAGGAGTTTTAGTGAAACAAAAGTATAACCATATCTTAAAGATGCAGAGGCTAGTGGGTGAGCTTAATGTTAATATGTATATGAAATTGTTCTTATAATTCTCTAGCTTTTATTATGTGTTACTGTTGCTATCTCCCTTAAAAAAGGAAGGAAATAATAAAATCAGTTCATATTTACAGAGGGTTTTAAGGTTTTACAGAGCCCTTTTTTCTAACCACCTAATAAGGTATATAGGGCAATAATTGATTACTCCATTTTACAGATGAGGAAACTGAGGCCTAGAGAAATCAGGTGACTCATCTGTGGTCACACAGTACTAACTGTGAAGAGTCTAGATTTGAATCTCAATGCCATGGCTCTAAGTCTTCTTGTCTTTCCACAACACTAGATTGCCTCTCACCAAAAGAGAAGGGGAGGGTGAGGGTGGAGGGGATTGGAAGGGAGACCAGTATCTCAAAAAAGAAAAATATTCTTTAAATTTTAAAAATTATGTCTTTAATTTTATAAAGACTATGTTTCTTTAAATGGTTTTATGGTGTCTTTTCACATAACATAAATGTTTCTGAAATATAAAACAATGTAAAATACAATAGTGTAACAAATGTAATTATAATAGTGATTCTCCAATATTCCTTTCATTAACAAGGTGCAGAAAGCCATGAAAAGCGTTCTAATTACTCTTATATAAAAACAGTTTTTCAACTAGTCAAGAATTCACTTCAGTAGAAAACTATGGCTCTCTCTAAAATGGTAATAGTTGTGCTCCACTTTGAAGAACACATTTTAGCTTCTTTTCAGTCTAATTATTTTAATCTGAACACAAATAAAGCCTTTTTTTCCCCCAATCAAAGCTAGTTTATGTATTCCTTCATTCTCTTAAGTTAATTTCATTTTTATATACACATTTGTTTGAATTCCTTTGAAACGTAATTCTGGCTTTATCAGGAATCAAATACTTAATGTAGAACAGTTATTTCATGTATAGTGAATGATATTTTTAAAGCAGGGCGGGTTCCTCCATCCCAACCCTCCCAATGCTGTGACTCAGTGGTTTTTTTTAAGGGCAGGCAGCCAGCCAGCCAGCAGTGTGCCACTTGAAAGCAACAGCCCCTCTGTCTGAAGAAAGATGAGCATTGATTCACTGACCGGGATACATGCCGAGGACACTGAAAAGCCCGGAAGTGACTTTCTCTTCCCCCTCCTCCCCTGTTAGCCTCCTGCCCAGAATCCCCCTAGCATCATTATATTATATGAAAATACTCTCATCACTTAAACATTCAGCACACACAGTGAGTGGCAAGGAGATGATGAAGTGGCATTTCTGTACACTTCAGAATTAATCCATGAAGAATTCAACTGATTAATCTGAATTAATTTTTTTTTTGCTTGTTTTGTGATTGAGTTCTTTATGAGATATTATGAATGAGGCATTTTTGTTCCTTGGTTGTGCCAAGTATTCATTTGTTTTATGAGATGATTAAATGAGATTCTTTGAAAATAGGGGAAATGGAAGTTACCTTTTGATGAACTCTGTAAGTCTTATTTTAAAATGCTACTGGACAAAGAGTTAGGTCATAGTTGAGACATACTTATTCTGCCAGGAAAATGAGTTCTGGGTAATTTTTGGTAGAAAATGGACATTAATCTACTGCTCGTGATTAGGTAAATGGACTGTTTCTTTAGTGCTTTCCTTCCTAATGTGGAAATTGGTACAACATGACTCCATGTTGAACTCTAAAGTTGATTATTTAAAACCTTTAAGAAAACGGTATTGCTTCCCTTTTATTTAAGCAGTTTTAATTTGGTTTTGTGAGGTTTACACTGACCTGGCACTATTTTTTGAGACCTCTTCCCCCAGAGATGAAGGATGTCATAAAATATTGTGTGCAGGCTACTAAAGGGAGGTCCATAGACACTGCTGTAATTAAGTGTGTAAGTCATTATAATCCGGTGGCATGAACGTAAGGGCCATCTTACATCTATAAGGAACCCTCTTGAAGTCAAAGAATCTTAAGGTGCCATGTTTTTTTTGTTTTGTTTTTGGTGAGGGTAATTGGGGGTAAGTGACTTGCCCAGGGCCACACAGCTAGTGAGTGTTATGTGTCTGAAGCTGGATTTGAACTCAGGTCCTCCTGACTCCAGGGCCAGTGCTCTATCCACTCTGTCACCTAGCTGCCTCCAAGGTGCCATATTTTTAAAAAGATGATTTGAGCTATATTTTCAAAGCAAAATTCCAAGCTGCTATTTTGTTTTTATTTCTGTAGATAAAAGGATGTTAATGGAATTAAGTAGTTATCACTTGGGGGGAGAAGTTTTAATGTTATACTTGCTTAGTCTTCTTATTTATATATAATACCCACTTTTAATAAGTTCAGAATGCCCAAGAAAAATTCATTTAATGTGTAGTTAAATGAATTGTAGCCACTGAAAATTCCATTTCTAACAATTCTTTCTTATTCTTGACAACAAGAAGAAAAAATTACATAGACATAGTGAAGGATTTGGAGTAAAAATGAACATTGCATGATATTTTTTCCTCCAATTGATATTAAATCATTGAGTCACAAAGAGTTTAATAGGTAAAGGGGACTTTAGTAAATAATAGCTGAAATTATTTATAAAGAGCTTTGAGGTCATTTTACATTCATTATCTCATTTGAGCTTCACAAAAAACAATGCTACTACAAGTGTTATTGAAAATCATCTAAATCCAGCCATTTCATTTTGCCATTGAGGAAAGAGCCCAAGAAGAAGTCAGGTTGTAAAGAATCCATAAGAATCAATACTGAATTTCTTCTTTAGAAAACTTGAGCATAGAACTGTCCAAAATCATGGTGTCGGTTGCTAGCAAAGCCTCAGTGTATATAATAACCTACAGATAAACTTGTTATTAACCACTTAAGTTCCTACCTCTTCAGCCTCTCACAACCAAATAATATTCACTTGTGTATAATGTAGTGGCAGACATTTCAGTTCTATGTGGATTTCTGTCTTTTGTTGAAATAGTCAAAAACAATTTAGCTCTTGATTTTCACACAGTTTTCCTTTTGATACTACAAAAAATTTCATCATTCCCTCAGTCCATTGCTTTCCCCCCTCCCCACATTTTTTTTTTTAAGGCAGTTGGGGTTAAGTGACTTACCCAGGGTCACACAGCTAGTAAGTGTCAAGTGTTTGGTCTGAGGCCTGATTTTTGAACTCAGGTCCTCCTGACTTCAGGGCCAGTGCTCTATCCACTGCGCCACCGAGCTGCCCCCCAGTCCGTTGCTTTTTTGGCTGATTGACCTTGCTTTACAGTTGTCTCTTAAGCTTTTGAATATTGAGGTATCCTGAATTGTACCTACATTTATAGGCAAGAAGGCATCCTTTTTAAGCACTCTGTTTTGGAGTCTTCATCCACACAATCTAAGGAAGTATTTCCCAGGATTTTTAGTTTTCAAGGCAATTTCTATAAAGCAAAAGGAGAAAAATGGTGCATTTCTGCATTGGTTCCTGTGGTATTTACACAATTCTTGTGTTTATAGAAAATGATCATATGCAGCATTTTTGACAGGTTGATTTCTACAAATATAAAAATTTGGTGCAAATTGTAAGAATAGCTTGCTGAATTCTGTTTTAAATTTGTTTTCTGCTCCTGTAACCTTGTATTTATTACTTCTTTGTGTATGTGTGAGAGTGAGGGACACAGAGAGAGAGAGAGGCAGAGAAGTTATGTTCTGTTACTTACTTTTACCCAGGAACTGGCATAATGTTAGTGGCAAGCTCCATTAGATTCAATTACAGTTGAGTCCGAGGTAGCTGAGTGCTTTGGAGGTCCTTCAAGAAAATAGCACTCAGGCTGTGATTATTGATTCTGTCAGATACAACAAGGTGGCATATTGTGTTACTGAATGCATTAGTGTCAGCAAATGCGTTCCATTTTCAAAAATTCAAAAAAGAGCCTTTCTCATTCTTCCTCCAGGATGGGCTTTCAGTACTCAACTAGTAGTTTGTGTTTTAGGCTAGCCAGAAGTTCACATGGGGGTGGGTTGTTTTTCTCTTCTAATAAATAGTTTTTGCTTTTTATTAACCAGCTACATAAAGGGCCTTTCCATTGTTGCTAATAACTAACAATGCCTTGGGGCAAAACTGCATTATTTATCCTAATGTGACTCTTCTAGGTCGCTTTGAAGAAGAATTTATAAAGATGCGAATGGAAAGACTGCAGGCATGGATGACTAGAATGTGTCGTCATCCTGTCATCTCAGAAAGTGAAGTTTTCCAGCAATTCTTGAATTTCCGGGATGAAAAGGTAGGAAATGACTTTATAAACGGTCTTTCAGATATTGAACAGCCAATTTCAACAGCAACCAGAAAATCAGAGTTTTAGTATTTGCTTTTATTGAGAGCAACGTGGGAACTGGTCTCCTGATTATTCTTTAAAACACAGGAAGAAATCCACATGAAGCTGTAGCAGGAGGGAGGAATTAGATGTCATAGAACGGACTTCTCCCTTTGCCATAGAACAGAAAGAAATGCAAGATTAGTGTCTCCCAAGGGGTTTTTAAACATAAGCTAGGTCCTTAACACTTTTGGATATTCTTAGGTTGTAAAGTCAAGGGAATGGATTAGATGACATCATACGGTAACTTCCAACCTTCTTATCTTAATGATAAAATTAAATAGAAGAGAAAATAGATTTATGACATTTTGGTACAACGCTTGACTTCTGTGGTAAACAGAAAATGTGTGTTGGTCTCTGTGCCCCCAGTGGACAACCATCTTTGTTAGTGGCCACCTATCCTTTATTAAGAGCAAGAGATCAGGGGGCAGCTAGGTGGCCCTGGAATCAGGAGAACTTGAGTTCAAATCTGGCCTCAGACACATAGCACTACCTGTGTGGGCCTCGGCAAGTCACTTAGCCCTGTTGCCTAGCCAAAAAAAAAAAAAAGAAAAAGGGGAAGAGATCAATTGCTCGTAATATATTACTATCAGTTTTAGAAATGGTTTTTCCTCTAAGGAAAGTTTTAAAGCATTCTTGGAGTGAAACTTAAGATATTGATATTTCTTTCTTCTTGGGAAGCGTCCAATGTGTTCTAAAAACAAAACAAGTATTGCCTTTTTCATACCCTTTGACCTAGAAATCCCACTAATGGTCATTTATCTCAGGCGGATCAAAGACAGAAAGTGTTCTCTTGTATAGCTAGCTACATGGAGAGATCACATGATACATATAGCATAATATGTCAGTAATAACATGATATTTAATGTGTGTGAGAGATATAGATAGCTATATTATTAATAACCAGGACTGGTCATTGTAATTACTCAAGAGGTTAGCTTTTTTTAAGTGGACTTTGAAGTTTACACTATTATAAATAAAATATACATTTTATATAAATATAATCAGGCAACACTGCTATGGTAGTAAAGAACTGGAAATAAAATGATTGCTCACTGACTGAGGAATAGCTAAACTGGCATATGATACAATGAAGAAATAAAAAAAATCTTTTTAAGCATTTCTTGTATTTCCAAGCACTGTGCTTGTTTAGGGGAAACAAATAGAAAAACAAAACAATCTTTGCTTTCAAGGATTTCACCTTCTATTAGGGAGATGTAATGCATATAGAAGGGTCTAGCTACAGGGCAGATGGCAGTACTTAGGCAATCATCCCTACAGTAGATAGTAAGACCATCCATTTTATCCAGTAGGGGAATATTATTTTGTAATAATAAATGACAAAAATGAGGAATTCAGAGAAACATGAGATTTGTCTTAACTGATGGGTATTGAAAAAAGCATAGCCAAAATAAAAATATACCCATTGCTGTGCATTTTACTTAGAATAGTGCAGATTTTAAAACCACTAAAAGGAAAGCTGTACTCTTGGGTATTTGTGATAACAGTCTTAGTCCCAGAGAACAGAGAACTTATGCAAAAACAGAATATTGTGTGGGTTTTCAGAAATGGACATTATCAGTTGGTTTTTCTCAACTCTTTTTTTTTTCTTTTGCTGGAAGGGAGAGGTCAGTTCCAGGTACAGAGGTTGTGGGCAGTGGGGTTGATCAATATTTAAAAAAAAAGGCATCAGTGAACGTCTTACAAAGAAGAAAAAGTATGATTTATATCAGAAGCAGCAAAATACAGATGAAGTACATAAATCCTATAAAATGAATCCAATTACTTTAGCCTTTTTAGAATACAATTGCAGAAATTTCAATAGCAGCAACCCTCCTTGAGTCTTTGTTTTGGCTCCAGTATCCTAGCTGACTTCTTAAGAAGCATTTCTTGTTAGGTGAACACTTGATTACAAAACATAATTATGAAGCCAAATTAAATATTCTATCTTCTCTCACTGGTTTATGTGTGTGTGCATGCTGTGAGGAAATGAGAAAACAATGGGGTCCTTCACACTTGTTTGTGTATTTACATACTATGAGTGCTGCCTGCAAGATTGCTGTAGGAAATCTTAATGGTCTACTTAAAGCAGTGTGATGATTTTCTCGTGTGGCTTGTAAAAATTGATCTCATAGTTTTATAGTCATGTCATGTAGAATCTATATTTAGAACTGGAAGGGACCTTATGGAGGGGTAGGCAGTGTGGTGTACGCGGTGTGGTATATGTGAATGGAGCACCGGACTTGGGAATGGGACCTGAATTCAGATGTGACCTTTGGGTGTCTCACTTTCTAAGTCACTTCAGCTTTGATTGCCTCATGGTCCAGAGGTTAGAATTTATCAGCTATCACAGAGAATTCTGACCTGTATATTTGTCAGAATTTCCCAACCTGGACAAAATTACAGATGCTTGAAGTATAAGATGATAGAATTAAAGGGGATGTTAGAGGTTGCCCCCTTGCAGGACTCTTTTCTGCAACATCTCTGAAAAGCATGTATCCCATCTCAGCTTGAACTTCCAGGGACGGAGAGCTCAGCCTCTCACATCTCAGCTTTGAACAGCTCTGAGATTCATTAGGGATTTCTTGTCTACTCTTTGAGCCTCTCAAGATGATTTTGGATCCCAATTCTATCTTCCAACATAAGAACTGTCTCAGCTTTGTCACCTTCTAGTTTAATAAGATGTCAGCTACTAAATTGGGTAGCTAGGTGGCACAGTTGGTAGAGTGCCCAGCCGGGAGGGAGTCAAGAAGACTCATCTTCCTGAGTTCAAATCTGGCCTCAGAAACTTACTAGCTGTGTAGCTCTGGGCAAGTCACTTAATCCTGTCTGCCTCAGTTTCCTCATCTGTAAAATGAACTAGAGAAGGAAATGGCAAACCACTCCAGTATCTCTGCCAAGAAAACCCCAAATTGGGTCACAAAGTTAGAAATGACTGAATAAAAACAACTACTAAGAGTGTTAGAACTATAAACAACCTTGTAGCTGAGCACTGGATACCCCCCCACCCCACCTCACCTTAGTATTCATTCATTAATCATTAATTAATTAGTATTTAGGTAAAGCAACTCAACCATCTAGAAATATACATTGCAACCATCACCTGGCCCATATTTCCCCATCTTTTCTACAAAAGTGATTTTTGAAAAAGAGATTTTGTCATTTGTCTTGTTGAAATCCCGATATACCATGTCTACATACCAGTACATTAACTCAATTTAAAAAAAAAAAAAAGAATTGCGTTCTGTTGAGTTTATGAAATACCTATTAACATGTAAGAAACAGTTCTAAGCCCTTAGTAATGATAAGTAGATGTTGATATAATCCTCTAAGATTTGCAGAATGCTTTGCAAATATTATCTCATTTTATCCTCATTATCCTCATCAATAGCAGCGGAATATCGGTGCTATTATTTCCATTTTACAGATGAGGAAACCTGAGGCAGACAGCGGTTAAGTGACTTGTCCATGATCAGACAGCTAATAAGTGTCTGAAGGTGTATTTAAACTCAGGTCTTGCCTGACTCCAGGCCCAGGGCTCTATCCACTATGCCATCTAGCTGCCTCATACAAAAATGAGTAAGGTTCCATTGTTGCCAAGATGCGTAGGATGATCTGTAATCTAACTATCTGGGATAAAATACGTACCCAGAGAAAATAAGTAAAGTGAAAGTGCATTAAAGAGAAACAAAGAAAATATTTTAAGAGTTTGATGAAAGGAAAGATCACTTTAGGTTGGGGAGATGAGGGAAAGGTTCATGGAGGAGATCATATAAGTGTCATAAGCAGGATTTAAATCCGAGTCTTCCCAATTCCCAAGTCAAGCACCCTACACTGTGCCATGCTGCTTAGAAGGTACCTGTTTTTGTAATATACTCTATATTATTTTAGATCAGATTATAATTTAAATTAGAAGGAATGTTACCGCTGTGCAAATAGAGAGGCTGTTACTTTTCAGTTAAGAGGCTAAAGGTCCAGAGTGGACAAATCTCCATCCCTCTTCTGCTGTTACTGCTGGTGGCTGAATGGATGCCCTGGGACAAAAGGGAAAAATTCTTTGTACTCACTCCTTTACATTATAATGTTCTTATTTCTAGGAATGGAAAACTGGGAAGAGGAAGGCTGAAAAAGACGAGCTGGTGGGTGTTATGATATTTTCAACCATGGAGCCAGAAGCCCCAGACCTGGACTTGATAGAAATGTAAGCCATGTTATCTTGGTTTCCATCTCTTGGTCTGCTTTTTTTTTTTTTTTTTTTAAACCTCCCACGGGATGGCAATCTAGACCAAGTTGATAATGACCTGAATTCAAACTGGATGAATAGCCTCTGTGAAATGGGTTAGGAATGGAGTTATGTTTAATCAGAGTTAGAAGGGACATCATCATAGCTGACATTTATATAGCTCTTTAAGAAATGCACATCACTTGTACATGTATTATCTCATTTGATCCATTTAATCCAGTTTCTTTCTTTTTTTTTTTTTTAAACACATAAGGAAACTGGGACCCATATGTCCCATGCCATCCTCCCATTTTCATTCTAAATCCAGTAATGATGATGGTGCTGAGGAATGTCAAGGCCCAGTCTTCAGACTCCAAATGCAGTGTTCTCTCTCCTTATCTTTTGTTTCTGTAGACCAGAGGTCAGCAAACTGCTCAACCAGCCAGTGAGTTAAGAATGTAAATGAAAGTTTTATTTTGTAAATTTGTAAACCTGTAAATTTTTATTGTCTTTAAAAATGTAAAATCTCTTCTTAGCTCACAAGTACAAAAACACTCCAGCTTCAGGTCTAGAATTTACAATGATGGAGCATTTAAGTGATGGAGAAAAATGTTAATAATACAAATTAAATTTAAAAGTGTGGTTTTTTTTGTTTGTTTTTTTTTTTGAGTAGCCAAGTGTTAAACATTTACCAACACACCACTGCCTCCAGGTTCCTTTACAGCTCTGCACTTACAGAGGCCACATAGGGGTCTCAGTTTCCTTATGTATAAAAAGGGGAGATTGGACTAAATGAATCAAATGAAATAGTATATGTAAACAGGGGCAGCTAGGTGGTGAAGTAGATAAAGCACCTGGCCTGGAGTCAGGAAGACCTGAGTTCAAATGCAGCTTCAGACACTTACTAGCTATGTGACCCTGGGCAAGTCACTTAACCCCAATTGACTCAGAAACAAACAAAATAATGTAAACAGTTTGAAAACCTTAAGACTCTATATACAAACTAGTTATCAGGCGAGGTAGTGGTGGTAATATTGTGATGTCTCGTCCAGCTCTAAAATCTTATGATCCCCTATGAACTAAACATGGTAAATCTAACTAGAAAAAGAAAAGCCAACTTTGCTCCCACCCTGATTTGTCACCATAACTCACAGGCCCATCTTGGTTTCATTTTCTCCTTTAAAGTTTGATGCTTTGATGATTGGCACAGTGTTTAACAGCTGTTTCATAAAAGGATTATTAAAATGATAAAGCAGTGTGGAACCAACAGACAGCCACTTTATCTTCACCAGGACAAAAAACCTGTTGGCATATTTGCCTTGAAAGAAGCAACCCTGAAGCTCTTTTTCCCCGCCTACGTGCTTTGTAAGAGCTTGTTAAAAATACCTTATCTCCTATAGGAAATAATGTTAGCTAGCAATTTATATAGTGAATTCAGGTTTGCATAGTGCTTTACAAATATTATCACATTTGATCCCCACAACCGACTCTGGGAGGTAGGTGTAGTTATTATCCCTATTTTACAGATGAGGAAACTGAGGCAAACCAAGGTTAAGTGACTTGCTCAGGGTCACAGAGCCAGTAAGTGCCCATGCCTGGATTTGAACTCGGGTTTTCCTGACTCCAGTGTCCAGCACTATCTGTCTACTTTGTAGACACTGTGATTAGGACTTAAGAAATAGTTCTTTTGTTTGTGAAAGAAGCAAAGAAATCTTAGAGTCTTGGGTGTCAAACTCTCGGGGGACAGTGAGTGGTCTATTCAGAATTGCTTTCTTCTGACAGCCACCAGAGATGCTTCATTTACAGTTGTGACAGATGGGGGCATGTTGAGATTTCATAGAATTTCATCTTAAAGAATCAATAAACCATTTACCTTTGGCTAACCTTGGTTATCAGATTTCTAGATAATGATGGAAAGAAGAAGATTTAAATAAAAAGTGGGAATATTATGATTTGGCTAAGGGAGCTACATGTGCAGGCCTCTTTGGAAATTTAACCTAAATGTTTTCTTTATGCCATTAAAGCAGAAATTCTGTGTGCCTTTTGTGAAGTGAGGGCTTGTATTCAGTATTAAAGTAGTGATAATGTACTTTATGCCATGTAAGCTTGAGTGGTAAACACTGCTTGGTTTTTTAATGTGCCTTAAATTTACATGGGACTTTTTTGGAAGTGGCCCAGAATTAATGTATCTTGTTAATCTTTCTGGCTTCTTCAGAAGCAGCATGGGGAGAGGTAGCCACTACTCTCATTTTCAGATAGGGAATGCAAAACGCAAAAATGGCTAAGGTACGGTCACATGGGTGAATGGATCAAATCCCAGATTGACGTCATCCTCTAAAAACCATTGTATATGCATTGCTAAACTCACAAATATTTGAGCATTAATTTCTTGCTACATCATGCTGAAGAGTGGAGTGCGTATAATCTTGTCTGAACTCCTATCCGGTCCAATTTGGAGATGACTATATCTGGGCTTGGTACATCAGGAGGCACAGATGATGGACAGCCAAATTCTCATCATTTGGGTTGGGTCATCGGCTTTGTGGATTGGTCCCCTCCTCCCAATGTCTACTCATTCCCTACTCTGCTGCATTTCCACAGAGGACAGAAAATAACTCAATTTTTTTCCACTTCTGAGGATGATTCTAGATTATGGTATCGCTTACCCCACTTCATTGAAAGTGTTTAGGTTCTTCTCTTGACCACTTTAAGAAACAAGTATTCTGATTCTGCGATATTTCTGTCATATAATTCGGCAAACAGTTTATAAGTTCACCAGCAACTACATCTGCAAACAGTAGATAGTTTATTTAGTAGGGATTTACATATTAGTAAGTTACTACTAGAATGAGCAGTTAAAGAATTTTGATAAATGCATTGAATAAATGACTGGTATATATGTTTTGTTGGTCTGTCTCAGCTACTATACCGAATAATTGAGAGGGGACTCTGGGCTTTGGGGGGAAAAATGGATCATGGGTGAAAAATATTCATTCTCTATAGGGAGAGGCTGATAGAACCCAAACAGAATGTTAGTGGCTGTTTTCCACTAGTATATCCAGCTATTTGGCACAGTTGGCAGGTGTCAGTCATTGTTTGGGGGGTTCTTTTTTTGTTTTTGTTTTTTTGGCTAGGCAGTGGGGTTAAGTGACTTGCCCAGGGTCACACAGCTAGCGAATGTCAAGTGTCTGAGGCCGGATCTGTCAGTCATTGTTTAAACACAGTCCTCATCCACCAAGGAGCATCCTCATCTAATCAGTCGGTGGGTGGTTGTCTTTGCTTTGCAGAGAACAGAAATGCGAAGCTGTTGGTAAGTTTACCAAGGCCATGGATGATGGTGTCAAGGAGCTGCTGACCGTGGGACAGGAACACTGGAAGCGGTGTACAGGACGTAAGTCTCACTTCAGGCGTTTGTTGACCCTTGTTTGTTGTTGTTATTGTTTGTTTGAATTTTTGCCACATTAATGAACTCAGTGGCCCCAGAAGAAAATTAGGTAAGTCAACTCGAGTAGGTAAAGTTTGAAATGATAGTGCATTGAATAACCTGGAGTCACAAAGACCTGAATTCAAAGCCTGCCTCATGCATTTGCTAGCTGTGTTACTCTGGCTACCTTGGTTTCCTCATCTGCAAAATGGGGATGATAATAGCACCTATGTCCCAGGGTTGTTGTGAGACCAAAATGAGATAATGTTTGTAAATCAAATGAGATGTCTGCAAAAGTGTTTAGCACAGTGCCGGGCATACAGTAGGTGCTACATAAATGCTTATTCCCTTCCCGAAACTGCTTTGCAAACCTTGAAGTTGTTGTTGTTGTTTATTTTTAGACAGCTTAGAGCCTTCCACAGCAGCACATAGTTAAATTGTGGTCGGTAATGCTAAAACCGTTCGTTCTCCATGAGTGTAAAATCGGAATGGTGGTACATAGAGTTGCTGTCTCACAGGCTTGCTTTGAGGTCCAAATGAGATAATGTATATAAAGCGCTTTGTAAAATTTAAAGCAGTTTATAGGCAGCGAAGTGGCACAGTGAATAGAACGGCAGCCTTAGAGCCAAGAGGACCCGAGTTCAAATCCACCTTCAGACACTCGCTGTTTGACTCTGGGCAGGTCGCTTAACCTCAATTTCCTCCTTCCCCCAAAAAAGGCTTTTTATGTGTCAGGTATCTATTCTTGTTACTCGTCTTTAACACATTGGACTGTGTGCTCCTTGAGAGCGGAGACTGGAGTTTTTTGCCTTTCTTTGTATCCCCGGAGCTTAGCACAGTGCCTGGAATAGAGTAAACACAATAAATGCTTGTTCACCTTGACTCTTTACACAATTCCATAGGATTTGCTGAGGATGGCCAGAAGACTTAAAAATTACTTACTCCAACTTTGGATGGCATAGACAGAGACATTTTAGATCTCTGATGCTCTTCTGAGTTTTTTTTGTTTTGCTTTTTGGTGAGGCAGTTGGGTTTAAGTGACTTGCCCAGGGCCACACAGCTAGTAAGTATCAAGTTTCTGAGATCACATTTGAACTCAGGTCCTTCTGACACCAGGGCCGGAGCACTATCCACTGCACCACCTAGCTGCCCCCAAAATCTTCTGTTTGCTTTTTTTGGGGGGGGGGGATGAGGAGTTTGGGGTTAAGTGACTTGCCCAGAGTCACACAGCTAGTAAGTATTATGTGTCTGAGGCCTAATTTGAACTCAGATCCTCCTGACTCCAGTGCTCTATCCTCTGCACCTCCTAACTGCCCCCTCTGATGCCCTTCTGAAGAGTAATTGTTGCATTGCGTACTTTTTTTTTTCTTTTGATTAACACAAAACACTGAAGAAGTTTTGCCTATATACCAAATACCCTGAAAAGCTATTCCACATTCTATGAGGGGAACTCTCTATTATCTGGTACCATAGTTATAGTACAATGATAGCTGATACTCTCAGACATTTTGAAATTCTGAACCACTAAAGAGATATATAATTAAGTTAAGGATAGTAAATGGATTCTTAATATCCTGCATTTCTTTAAAAAACAAATGCTTCTTATCTATCATGACCATACCCTGTCTGCCAAAATTTAATCAGAATACCCCATTCTCCAACTTTTACTTGGGAAACTGAGAGTTTCAGTTAGTTTTTCTGTTTCCATCGATGGGAATTAATCTCCTTTACCACATGGATTTTTTTGTAGTGTGCTTTTTTTTTTTTTAAATCAAGTGATTTTTCAATAGATGAGAGAGTATACACTGTACTTTTTTCACCTCAGTCTCTAAGATGCCATGCATGTGCTTGGCTCCATTCCTGCAATTTCTAGAAATAGCCTGAAAAAGTCAAATTACTTCTAATAATAATAATAATAGCTAGCACTTATATAGCTCCTACTATGGCACTTTGCATATAAAGTAGAAAAATATGAGCACAATTTTAGAAGAAACTGGAGAGGCAAAATGTCCCTTCTTTCTCACAGCCAGAGGAAGTGGTTCAAGGAGGGGAAGAGTAGTGAGAAAATAGGCAGCTGCGGTAATAATGACCATGTAGTATAATTGCTGTCTCAGACCTAAATTTACATGCAAGTCACCCCATCGAAAATGAGCCCTTGTCAGCTCCCGCAAAGCTGGGAACAGCAGCAACCAGATCAGACCATTAGCTTGGCCCCCCTCGGAGCAGAATTGACCTTCCTCTGCCATATCTAGGCTGACCTATTGACATGGGCCTCCTAAGGCTTAAAGGTGAACCTGGAAATGCAGTTTTCCAGTGTAGGAGACTGATGCTACTGATTTCTGGAGCAGTACGGCTAGTATAGGCATCGTTTTATATCCTTCCAATAATACACAAAGGCATGTATTACAAAGAAATACTGGTTGTATTCTTAACCGGAAGATTATATGGATAATTTCTTGTTACTTTGGTACTCAACACAAGACCAAGTTGGGTCATCTTTGTTTTTATTAAAAGAAATGGGTTTTTTCCAAAACTAAGATGAATCAGAGTAGTTAGGTTTTTTCCTGAAACTCAGGTGAATCAGAGTAAGTGGGGTTTTTCCAAAACTAAGATGAATCAGAGAAGTGTTAAAAAAAAAAAAAATTAGACACTAAGGGTGGAATGTTATAGATTAGTTAACAAGTTAGAAATCAATAAGCCCCCACTCCCACTTTTTTCATCTTCCTTTTGTGTTCTTCCCCCATTAGACTGTAAGCTCCTTGAGGGTAGGAACTATCTTTTTCATATTTGTATACTCTAAGCACAGTGCCTGGCACATAGTAGGCACTTATTAAATGTTTTCTGACTGACTGATGGATAAATCTGTTGTAAAAGTAGTGGCACAATTGAGATCTTTTTTTAAAATATTGAAAAGAGGTAACACATTGCATTTATGATGTACTTACTGCTTTTTCAAGGCACTTATAAATAGTCACATTTTATCAGAAAGAAAAATCACTTAGGATTTGCTGACAAGCCAGCTGCCCTTGCCTGAGGGACATCTGTCAGAAGTAATGACAGCTTTGCTTCTGTCCCATGGCAAAGAGAACTGATGATATATTCTGAATACAGAAATTAAGTCTGAAAAGTCATGTCAGCAACTGTTCAATCTAAAAAAAAAATCCGTGCTTTTGGCCATAATAAATAACTCTTGTAGACAAAAAGAAAATATTTTTATTAAAAAAAAAATACAAGAAATGCTATATGGCAGTACACCCACAGTTTCCTGAACTATAAAAGCATATCCTTTGTGAGACAGGTAGTACAAGTAACCCCAATTTACAGATGAGGAAGCTGAGGCTCAGAGAGATTAGTTGACTTGGCTAGGGTTGCATAGCTGATGGAAAGTAGTAGGGTTCAGTTCTCAGCCAGCCCTAGCATTCCCTCACCCCCAAAATGAATCCAAAAACAAAAGGTCTGTGAGTCACCCATCACAGTCTGCTGGCAGCAGGATCTGTGGATATAGGGGGATTCTGAGAATTTTCTTAGTGGTGAAATAGTCAAGACACACATGCACATACACACACACACACACACAGACAGACACACACACACACACACACACACACACAAATGAAGTGGAAAGAGAGAGACTGGAGGCAGAATAGCACCCTCTTACCTACCACTTCTCCAAGTTATCTTGTACACTCACGCTTTGCTCCTTCTCTCCTCTACCCCCTCCACCCCCACTTGCCTGGGCAGAATTCTTTGTTCTTGTAAAGGAAATAAAGGGTATCCTAAGGCTATGAAAGCTTAAAACTGCACTAAGACTTTTGGGACACCCTGTACTTGGATTGGCCAACTCTGATTGCTTAGGGAGTGACCTCAAAGGGCCAGTGAAACTATGGAATCCTAATTTGTCCTTCAAACACTCGTCTGTCCCTCTCATCCTCCAAAAAAAAAAAAGTATAGTATGTGAATGATTATATTAGATTTGGTGAATGGTAAAAGAGTGGGGGGGTAGCAGTTTTATTTACCATTTCCTTCTTTTATTCACCATTTAATTTGCCAGAGTTGGTGTATAGAATGTATACGTATATAGGTATGGCACCCTAATAAGCTTGTATCTTAAAGAAATAAAGAAGACCCACACTGAAGCCACGCCGTGCCTGTGAAACACACAGCAAATATCATGCTCAGTTCCAGATGGTAGAACCAAAGTCTGAAAAAGAAAATGCCATGCATCTAATCAAATTTATTTAGTTGCAGCCCAGATCCCCTGATTGCTGCAGTCTACACATCTTAGTCAAATTCTTCTGGAAGGAATTTAATTATGTTAGAGTAGGCCCATAAGATAGAGTTCTGGCTCTAGATTTAGGAAGCCTTGAGTTCATATCCAGCTTCAGACGCTTACTAGCTGGACAAGTCATTTACTGTCTGTCTGCCTCAGTTTTCTAACCTATAAAATGGAGATAATGAGAGCAAATTCCCAGGGTAAAATTATAGTGAAATGCTATGCTAGCTTTTGTTGTTCTTATTCAGTCATGTCTGACTGACTCTTCGTGACCCGATAGACTTTAGCATGCCAATATTGTCCATGGAGATTTCTTGGCAAAGGTACTGGAGTGATTTGCCATTTCCTCCTCCAGGGGATTAAGGCAAACAGATTAAGTGACTTGCCCAGGGTCACACAGCTTGTAAGTGTGTGAGACCAGATTTGAACTCAGGTCTTCCTGACTCCAGGCCCAGCATTCACTCATTTATGTGAGCCTCCTAATGCTGGCTAGCTATTATCAAGTATTAATTTTCAAATGTGAATAATGTTTTTTTTTCTTTCTTAAGGCAAGAGATCAACTGGGGAAGTATACAGATAGATGAAAAAGAATCCATTATTTAGAAATTGTTTTGCATTGTTCTTTGAAATCTATCAAATTTGAAGGGATTTTGAATTTTCAAGTCTATGGAATCATAGGATAGGAGTTTAAGAGCAGGAAAATACCATGGAGATCAGTGAGTCTGACTTACTCAGTTTACAGACAAAAAATCAAGTCCCCAAAAGGTCATAGAATCATGGATTTGGTGCTGGCAGGGACCTCACAGGCCTCCCTCGTTTTCCAGAAACTGAGGCCCTGAAGGTTAAGTGACTTGCCCAGGTTACCCAGCTAATAAGTATCAGAGCCAGGATTTAAAAAAGGTCTTCCTGACTCCAAACCCAGCACCCTATCCACTGTGTGAACTAGCCATTCACACTTCATTAGGTGAGGTGGCCTGTTCAAGGTCACACGACTGGGGAGTGAGAAGTTGTGGTTTAATGATCTTACTCGGGCCCAAATCAGAAAAGATATTTAAGATGCTTTGCAAACCCTCAAAAGCTGTGTAAATTCTTGCAGCTGTTCTTGTCCATTGCCTTTCTACTGAACTACATGACTTAGTGCACCATAATGCATTCCTTATGCCTTCCCAGCAATTGATCTGCCATGCAGTGGCAATGTTAAAATACAAATAGCAACCCATATGTTTTTTTCTTCATAGGTAAATGGAGTAGTGAAAGAGTGAAAGAATTATCAAAAAAAAAAGTGAAAATACAATAAAGATGTGGGTAATGGTATTGACTGACATAAGTAACTTTGATGAATGTAGATCATAGTTGGGATAACTTTTTATCCTCAGATTAAGTAATCATTATTTCTTTTCTTAGCATTGCCCAAGGAATATCAGAAGATAGGAAAAGCCTTGCAGTGTTTAGCAACTGTATTCAGTTCCAGTGGCTACCAAGGTACATCTTTAATTTATTTGCACATAGACTGGGCCATATGTGGTATCATAGAATTCTGAATTGGAAGGACCTCAGACCATCATCTAATCCAATGTTCTCCAAAGTGGAAGCTCTGGTCTAGCCCCAAGGAGTTTATGATCAGCCAGTCATGGGGTAGGAAAATAGATCATGTCCCACCCTCTTCCTGATAGGCAATTAATGGGCTGTAGTACAATCACACCTACTTTTGTCCCTCAAAACTCCTAATGTGTTGTGTGTACACACACATACACATACACATATACACACACACACATATCTGCTGTGCAAGCTTCTAACCTACCACTCTTTGAATTGGGTGTTGACAGGGCACCTGAGTGGATACCCATGCGTGGAGCATCTGCATACCCACCTCCTAAGCTCAGATCATTTGGTAGCTATGATAGGCACACCTCAGATCAAAGTAGGCTCCATGTTCTGGGAAAGTGACCTGGATTAAAAGCTCTTCCCTTCTCCACTCATTTAGTCTATGAACCAGAAACCCCTACTATAGTATCTCCAGCAAGTCTTCACTTGCTTGTCCAAAGCCTAGCACCTTTGTTACAGAACTTTCCACAGGATCTGGAAAGTGAACAAGAATCTCATCCTTGAACATCTTTGTGACTAGGACTTAAACTGGTTAAGATGTCACAGTAAGAATCCTTGAAAATATCAACATTCTATTTCATTGAGTTGTATGAAAAGTAGAGACTTTGAGAATCTACATGATGAAAGATTGGAGGGAGGAGAAACGTTTGAAAGGGAGCATAATTTGTGTTCCTCCTGCTAGCTTACTTTCCTTTAGTTGTTCCTGGGTCCACCTCTTCAGTGTTTTTTGGAATTAAGTCCATGGCACTTGGCATGGAGGAACACAGCTGTAATCTTTGCTACTGAGGGAGACTGAGGCTGGTGGATTGCTTGAGCCCAAGAGTTCTGAGTTATGAGCAAGATAAGGGAGGAGACTCAGTATCAAAAGAACAAAGTCCTTGATACTGAACGTATCTTACTCTTGAGTCCATTTATTCGCTGAACTCTTAGAATAAAAGTCTTATTTTTTTATCCGTATAGTCACTCTAAGCAAAATGCCCCAAGTATTGGATCCATATTGCCTTAAGTCTCCTTCTCTCTCTCGGCATTCTGTCCATCTTGTTCCATAAGTGAAAGTCTCATCTGAATTGTTGAGACAGTGTCATTTGACATAGTTGTTCTTGAAGCTCCTAGTGCCTTGTCTCTGCGAATAAGTTACTGCTTTTGACTGCATAGTTCATTTTGTCTCTTCTCATTTTATGCTATAGAGCAGACTTGTTTTGTTCCTCAACCCATGATTTTATCATGATGGTGAACTCCCAGTGAGGAATGTCCTTTACCTATATGGATTGGCACCTCCTCTGTAATGTGTAGTCTAGAGTTGCCAAGGCCACTGAGAGAGGCTTAGTGACTTGCCAGGTCACATAGCCACGGGTGAACCAAGTCTTACTGAATTTCCAGGTTAGCTCCTTAGCCAGTATACCATGCTGCCTAAAAATTGGTGTTTAAATACATGAATGTCCAGTATAAATAATAAGCTGGAATTTTCTTTCTATTGTCTAGCTCTATCAGATTTCTGAACGTTTAAAAAGTGATTCATAGGAACTGCTAAGCTGGGCTTACGGATTTTAATCTCTATCTATTAGGACCTACCAAAATTCAGTTACATTCAGGCAGTGTTTTTGTGTTTCCGTCCCAGGCTCTAAGGTGAGACAGCCAGCTCTAACAGGAAGAGGAGGGGTTTTGGAGTCCAGTGACTTGGCCTTGTCTCCTGATTTTGCCTTACCACTTGATGTTGGACGTGTGGCTCTCAAGCCCAAGGTCCTACATCTAGAAAACAAAAGTGCTGGCTTAGATATCCTCTTTAGCCCCTTCCTTCAGGGAATGTATGCTGATAATGGCAATGGCGAAAGGAGAGCAAGAGAAGGGGCTTTTGGAAGGCGAACCTTTATCTCTGGAAGAGTTAAGGAAAAAATGTGGACAGGAAATTATTTATCTCAGATAATGGGGTGGCATCGTCTTTAACTGTCAGCACATTCCTGCCGTGGCCTGACACAGATAGGAGCAAACAAAGATGATCCTCGAGCAGAAATCTAATCATATCTCCCCTCCCTATCTCCAAGTGACTGGCATGCTTGCGGTTCTCCAGACTTAGCACTTCTTTGCCTTTGACACAGGCTGAATGTGTGATGCCTGCTCCACTCACCTCCTCACCTGTTCCTCTTAAATTAAATCTCCATTTCTTTTAAGGCTCAACTGAGGTGCCACCTACCTTGGGAAACCTTTTCTGTATGCCCTGGTCATTAGGGTTCTCTTCCTTCCACCTTAAACTTAATTAACAGTGCAAATATTGAATCCCTTCCCTCCTTCCAGTAGAACGTAAGCTCTTTGAGGGTGTGGACTGTTACATTTTTGTCTTTGTTCAATTGAATTTGGCAGGAAATTGTAAGGGATCCCTCCTTACTACAGATCTTCAGTTATCTTCATGTACTTCTATGGGCTGCTAAGGTTTCTGTTCCCGCTGTTAGGGGTGGGGAGAATGAATTTTAATTTATTTAACAAATAGCAAACACAGGCCACAAAGTGATACTGTTAGGAAAGGATAATATAGACAAGGAGTTCTTAACCTTAGGGTCCTAGACCTTTTTAAAATTTTATTTAAATAATTATATTTCACTATCATTGGCTTTCTTTGTTTCTAACATGTTCATGCATTTAAAAACATTATTTTGAGAAAGGAGGCCCATATTTTTCACCAGACTGCCAAAGTAGTCTGTGACTCACACGAAAAGGTTTAGAACCGTTACTATAGACAATCTAAACAGAAGGGAGGAATTAGATGATTAGGGGGGTGTGTGTGTGTGTGTGTGTGTGTGTGTGTGTGTGTTTTGAAGGCAAGAAAAGAATCAAAGAGAGCTTAAGAATGGTATTTTGCTGTTTTATTTCCCAAAGAGAACAATTTATACTGGGAGGAAGAGATGAAAATATGATTGGGAGGAAGAGATGAAAATATGATTAGCAGGGAGTAGAAACTGAAGAATCTGGCAGGACAGCATCTGGCTGCCCTCAGTGAGTTTGTCACCTATCCAGGATAAACTATATTCTAGGATGCTGAAAGAACTGAGAACTAGGATCGCTTAGCCAGCATTGGTAATGTTTGGGAAATGTTGAAGAATATGAAAGGCATCAAAAACCTGGAGAAGGAAGGGTCAATGCAGTCCCAGTTTTTAGAAAAGGGAGAGAAGTGGAGCCTGCAAACTATATAACTGTGAGCCTGACTTTTATCCTGGAAAAATTCTAGAACACCTTTTTTGAAATATAACCTGTAGGCATTAAGAAAAAGAAGTTGGGATTACTAAAAGCAAGCATGACTTTTTCAAGAACAGGTTATGACAGACTGATCTCTTTCCTTTTTTTTTTTTTCTGACAATGTGACATTATAGGCTAGCAATTCAGAGGTAGACGGTCTATACGTAGATTTTAGGAAAGCATTTAACAAAGTCTTTCATGCCATGCTGGTGGAGAGGATGGAGGGGTATGAGCTAGAGGATAGTACAGTTAAGTTTTTGGAACCCTAAAAGTAATCCTTGATGGCAGTGTTCAGCTTGGGCATATAGCTGTAGTGTAGTTGGTCCTGGGCTAGTCAACATTCTTATCAATGACTTAGATATAGAGAGAGGTAGGGGTGTGTGTGTGTGTGTGTGTGTGTGTGTGTGTGTGTGTGTGTGTGTGACACAGAGAGACAGATTGTGACAGAGAGAATGAATGAGAATGAGAATCATACATTTAGAATTGGAAGGGACCTTGGAGATCATTGAGTGTGGTCACACAGCTAGTAACTGTTAAAAAGGCAGGGTGTGTATGGATCCAGGTCTTCCTAAATTCCAAGTCAAGCATTCTAACCAGCATACCACACTGCCTCTTCTAATATATCCAATTTGCTTAACCTCTTCATTCTGTAGGCATCTCAAACTCAATCTGTCCCAAAGAGAACTCATTATCTTCTTTCTGAAACCCATTCCTCTTCCAGATTTCCCTATCTCTTTTGCTAGTACCACCATCTTAGCAACCAGGAACACAAACTAGAGGTTATTCTTTTTTTTTTTTTTAATTTTTATTAATTTATTTTGATTTATCGATAATCACCTCCATATGCCCCAAATCCCTCCCCCCCTTCCTCCCCACCACCCTCCTCAAGACAGCACACAATCTGATATAGGCTATACATTTACATTCCTATTAAACATATTTTCACATTAGTGATGTTGTAAGTAAAAATTAAAACCAATAGGAGGAACCATCAGAAAGAAGAAACAAAACTCAACAGAAGAGAAAAAAAAAAGCAATTCAGCTTCCATAGTTCTTTCTTTGGATGTGGATAGCATTTTCCATCACAAAGCCTTTGGAGATGTCTTAGATCCTTGTATTGCTGGGAAGGGTTAAGTTTATCAGTATTAGTCATAGCACAACGTGGCTGTTATTGTGCAAGTTGTTCTCTTGGTTCTGCTCACTTCACTCAGCATCAGACCATACAGGTCTTTTCTGGTTTTTCTGAAGTCAGCCTATTCATCATTTCTTATAGCACAACAGTATTCCATTACATTCACATACCACAACCTGCTCAGCCATTCCCCAATTGATGGGTATCCCCTCAACCTCCAATTCCCTGCCACCACAAAAAGAGCTGGTATAAATATTTTTGTACATGTGGGTCCTTTTCCCATTTGTATGATCTCTTTGGGATATAGCCCTAGAAGTGCTATTGGCTGGGTCAAAGGGTATGCACATTTTTATAGTTCTTTGGGCATAGTTCCAAATTGCTCTCCAAAATGGTTGGATCATTTCACAACTCCACCAACAATGCATTAACCTAGAGGTTATTCTTGACCCTTCACTTGCATCCCCTTCTCGGCAGTTGGGGTTAAGTGACTTGCCCAGGGTCACACAGCTAGTGTCAAGTGTTTGGTCCGAGGCCGGATTTGAACTCAGGTCCTCCTGACTTCAGGGCCAGTACTCTATCCACTGCACCACCTAGCTGCCCCTCAAACTCTTTCTATATTTAGTTAGTTCCCAGATCTGTCCATGTCATTCTCCAGATACAGTAAGGTAGAATTTAATGAAGATAAATGTGAAGTTTTACATGTGAGTTGAAAAAAATCACCTTCACACACTAGAAACAAGAGTGGAAATTCTAAAGAAGAAGACTTAGGTTTAGCGTGAGCAAAAATCTTATCAGCGTTAGCTCCAAAACAAAGCTCAGTGGACTTACTGACCAAAAGGTAGTGGGTTCCCTGTCACTAGATATTTTCACATTGCAATATTCTCAGCATAAGGGTACTCTTATTCAATTACAGGTTGGACTAAATACCCTCTGATGTTCCTTCCTACTCTTAGGCTTTGTGAAGATTTGCACAGGGTTTATGGGAATGAATGAATGAAAAAAGCATTTATTGAGTGCTTACTCTGTCATGAGCCTTGGGGGGCACAAATAAAAATGCAAAACAATCTGTCCCTGATCTCAAACTCACATTCCAATAAGAGGATATAATACATATAGGAGGGTTTAGCTGCCAGTCGGATGGCAATGCCCACAGGTCTAATGGATGTGTCAGTAGGGAAGATAATATGGTTCAATGTTCCACCATTTTACTGAGAGGATTATAGTTAGTGACTTCCCTGTTCATCCAAGGGGTGTGAGTGGCACAGTTCAGAGGGACAGGAACACTGAGCCCTAGGATCTGAGGTGAAGGTGGGTTGAAGATAACTTTTGCGTAGAGGGGACTGAGTGGTCAACATTCCAAGGAGGAGAGCGCATCCAGTGTATGGTGAGAACTGGACAATGAAGTTGGGTGTAAGGATAGGAAGGTCACTTGGATAGAGAGAAGAGAAAGGTACTTGAATAGGGATAAAAAGATTTGCATATGGTAAGAAAGGAAGAGGAGACAAGTGGAAAGCAGGCCAGCTAATAGATGGAGACTAGAGAGAAAAGTTTACTCTGCTATTACTAGTAACATGGTCACCATCAGATTGCTGTGCTGATGAATCACAGCAAACTCCAGAGTCACTGCCACTTTGATAATTTCACAACTTCCTGTGAGAGACACTGTTCCATTGCCTGCTGCCTCAATATTAACTCTTATCTATGTTCATAATTACTATTCAGTTGTTATTAAATAGCTAATATATGTGTGACACTGTTCTATGTCATAAAAGTGCCTCAAACATTAATTATGAAGTGTATTGTGTTGTCTGTGTGCATTACATAGTTTAACTCATTCAGGTTACAAGTATTTTTCATATGATACTTGGGCTCCCATTTTAATTAGGCTCTTACGCTTTCCAGCCAAGATGGAAGTCACTAACATCAAGCTCTTTGCTCTGATTCTCTTCTATTTACATATGCAAATGTCTAACACAGTCGTGACAGTGGAGCTCAGAATCCTTTATTCTCTCCCAGTTCTACTGTTTTTTTTAGTCCCGATATGTCATTGAAGTAAATGCAATTGTATTTTCAGGTGAAACAGACCTCAATGATGCAATAACAGAAGCAGGAAAAACTTATGAAGAAATTGCAAATCTTGTGGCAGAGCAGGTATGAGTGTGGCTGTTCACATCTCTGCATAATTCTAGTTGAAAAGGAGACATAGAACGTGCTTCCCTGGTGTTTGGCTTACAAGAGGAAGTTTTCTTCTCCTTGTCCAGATAGTCAGTTTTCATGAAAACCAAAGGCAAAAAGTTAATTTTAAGAAATCAGACTTTCTTAAATGGCTTGCTGATTTTCAAGGAATAAATAACATCATTGTATTCCTATCTCATGTAACAGTCTAGAACATCGATTGTGGTGCTGTGGTCCTAAAAGGACACAGAAAATTGTCATTAAAAATTACAAATTTTATGTAGAATTTATATCCCACTTAATCCTTAGTAGCCCCATTTTCTGTATTTGAAGAAAATAACCTTTTAGAGGAACATCTCTCTGAGTTTGCCATTTTTTCAGTTTTAGCTTTTGCTTTCTAAGTTCATGGGAGTATTTTCAGATGACTTAGCAAAATGGTACATAGTTTTATTATTAAAAATGCATATTGGCATATCCTAGCATAGTCAGTAACCATTAGTTACTAACTAGTACCAGTAATTAGTTACTGATTAGTAGCTAACTTCTTGTTATTCAGTCATTTTTCAGTGATATCTAAATCTCTGTGACCTCATTTGAGGTTTTCTTGGCAAAGATATTGAAGTGGTTTGCCATTTCCTTCTCCAGCTAATTTTACAGATGAGGAAACTGAGGCAAACAGAGTTAGGTGACTTGCCCAGGGTCATACAGCTAGTAAGTGTCTAAGGCCGGATTTGAACTCAGGAAGGTAAGTTCCTGACTCCCAGCTGGCACTCTATCCAGATGTCCTAACTTTACTAGTTTACCGAGTAAATTGTTCTTTTCAACAACAACAAAAAAAGAACATAAGAAAAATGCTACTGCAATAAAACGGGAAAATAATGTTGAATTCAAAAAGTGACTTAAGTAGTCTGCTGCCATACAGGTAGCCAGGTGACATAATGGAATTGTATGCTGGTCCTGGAGTCAAGAAGGCAGATCCGGCCTCAGATACTTATGTGACCCTGGGCAAATCACTTAACCCCAATTGCCTTTAAAAAAAAATAATAATAATAAAGAAAAAAAATCTGTTTGCCTTAGTTTCCTTGACTGTAAAGTGGGAAAATAATAGTACCTCCTTCCTGGTGCTATTAATAGGAACAAATGAGATAATTCGTCTTTTTCATAACATGGGCATATTGTGTTGCTCCAAAATTGCTCATCTTAAAAGGCTACTTTAAATCTGTTTCATTTTCAACTTTCACAAAATGTAGTCCATAAAAAGATTTGCTTCTGTTATTCTTGGTGAAATATAGTTGAACATTTACAACACAACACCTCAGACTTAATTGGTATGTAGGCTGTGGGTTAAAAAAAATTACTTTTTCTTATTTGATCTGTCACTAATCACAAACATATATATTTTAGCCAAAGAAAGATCTCCATTTCCTGATGGAATGTAATCATGAGTACAAAGGATTCCTTGGCTGTTTCCCTGACATCATTGGTACTCACAAGGTATCTTGAACTTGAATTGACAAAACATTCCTCAAAGATAATGGGTGCAAGATCAACTATTTCTCTTTTGGTTGTTTAACTTCCTTTTATAATGACCGGGAAGATTGATTGATTGTGTGTGTGTGTGTGTGTGTGTGTGCGTGTGTTGAAATTTTGTATCTCTACAAAAGTGTTTGTGGGGCTGTAATGGAAAATTATGCTTCTGTAATTTTTACTCAGCTAACAATCCCATTTGTAAGCTTGGAATAGATGAAACCATTTTCTTTTAATGAACTTTAAGTCTAAAAGACAAAAATATGCTTTTGAATGCAGTTAAAAAAAAAAATACCAGTTACCCAGTAAGAAGAGAATGAACACAAACGACTGTACCTGAATTTTTGGTTCTCACCAGTTCCTTCCTGTTGAAATAAAACCAATAAACCAATATTGGTTTGTCCCTGAAATTAATAAGAGATGTTTTGTGAGTCAGCCTTTAATGGTTGACAGTACTGTTGATGTATTTGCCAAAATTCCCCAGAAAGGAACCATAAATCTCCCAACTCTGGAGCATTTTAAAGTAAAAATAACTCCTCTATCTGTTCCCTTCTCGGCTCGCACAGCCACGACCCTCGTTCAGAGTCTCGTCACCTCTCTCTTAGATTAATGCAGCAGCCTTCTCATTGGTATTCCTGTCTCCAGTCTCTCCCCTCTCCAAACCATCCTCCACACAGCTGCCAAATTAATATTCCTAAAGCACAGGACTGATTTTGCTACTCCCCTTCTCAACAAGTTCCAGTGACTGAATCCCTGCTGTCTGTAGGATCAAGTACACATTCCTCTTTTTGGTATTGGAAAGCTTTCATAAACTGGTTGCATCTTAGGAAATGGGCTGCTTACACATCATTCACTTTCATGAGCTCTGCATCTCAGCCACATTGGCCTAGTGGCTGTTCCCTGTCCATGACGCAGTCATTTCCTGTCTCCATGCCTTTGCACGTACTGTGCCCCCAGCCCACCCACACTGCCTGTGTCTAGGGTTCATTTCCTCCTTATCTCATCTTCATAGAATCCCTAACTTCTTTCCAGACTCAGTTCACTTACCACCTCCCCACAATATTCTTCCTTCTCCATCTCCAGTTGCCAATTTAATTTTTCTCTTCCTGGACCCAAGGTTAGACTGGGCCCGCTGGCAGAGCCTAACACCGCTTTAGAATTGGTCATGGTGGTGTTGGGTTGGTTTGGACATTTTTGTTTTTAATGTTTATCAGCAGAGTCTCAACAGTGGAGCAGTCAAAGGACTTAATTGTTCCCCTGTAACCCAGCTTCACAATTTTGGCACGGTTCTAAATAATTGAAATAGCATGAAGGAAGGGAAACTCATATGAATGCGTGTTTTTGCACAGTTTTGAAGGGCGTACTGTAAAATTTGGAGTGACTTGGCTTTTAGTAATAAATCCTACGATGAAAGTGAGAAGTTTGCTCTGTCTCTGGACCGGCATGACCATCAAAGTTGCAGAATATCAAATCCACCAAATCACCCTCTTGACTTTTCTGGTTTTGTTCATGTCGTCATTCCCAGACACCTAAGCTCAAAACTTTAATGTCATCTTTGGCTCTTCCACATGATTCTTTTCCTTCACTACCTGTACTCCTACCCCTAAAAGTACATTCATATCCAGCAAATTACCACATCATCTCTTTTTGATTTTTTTCATTTAACAAACACTTTTTCTCCTCTCCATTGGAAAAAAAATAGAAAAACAAAACCTTTGTAATAAATGTGCGTCATCAAAGGTGGCAGCCTGTTATACAGAATGATACACACAGTTTTGGACATGGCCAATATGGGAATTTGTTTTACTTGACTCTTATTTGTTTTAAAGATTTGGCGTGGGAAGGAAGTGAATGCTTAACACTTGAAAAAAAATGAAATCTATTTTAAAAATATGAATAGTCAAGCAAAACAAATTCCCACATTGGCTATGTGCAAAATAAAATGTGTTTGAGTATATTACCTCTCTGTGAGGAGGTGGGTAGCATATGGCTGTGTCTTTATCATTGCTCCACATTGTTTCTTAAATCTGGCCTTTGTTTCTATTCCTAATGCCACTCTGTGATTCAGACCCTCATTTCCTCTCAAGTTGACTGTCGAGTAGACTCCTAGTGGGTTTCCCCCACCTCCATTCTTTTCACCCTCTGTCCCATGCCATATACTACTCCCAGATTGATCTTCATGATACAGCATTCTGATCATGTCACTCCACTTCTCAGAAGCTGTTGGTTGACTCTGCCGTTACTTGATAAGCAGCATCCAGTCCTCTTAGAGCCATGACACCTAAGGTCTTCCGCAGTCTGCCTCCAAACTTGCATCTCTACTCTTGTTTCCAGCTATTTTCCTCTACTTTATGCTTCAGCTGAATTGGACTACTTGTTTCATATTGACATACCGTGATTTCCTGCCTCTCTATGTTTGCTGATAACCTTCTCTGCCTGTGGAATGCCCACCACTCTTTCTTCTGTCTGTTGACATCGTATTCCTCTTTTGAGACCTCTTTCACAAAACCTCACTGGATTTCCCTTCCTGCTTCTTTTCAAATCTCATTGCTCTCTTTTTAGCTGCCCGTGCATTTATATTCCTCTTTGTGTTGCAAAGATCTGCATACATTTATCACCACTCTTGCTGCGAGATTGTGAGGCGAGGATGATGCTTTATTGATCGAGGTCTTTTGCAGCAGCTGACAGGTGTTGGTGGTTATTTGACTGTTTGGTTGCATTCTCTGAAGAACAGTATAGAAATCTCAATTCTCTTTTCTGTGTGTTAGAACATGTGAGCGTCTTCCTCACTGAAACTATGATATGTAGAAGCCTTTTGTTTTTTATTTGGCTTAGCTAATAATGTCTGGTTTTGTATTTGACAGGGAGCAATAGAAAAGGTGAAAGAAAGTGATAAATTGGTCGCGACCAGTAAAATCACCCCCCAGGACAAACAAAACATGGTGAAGCGTGTAGGCATAATGTCTTATGCACTACAAGGTAAATATGAAAACTCTTTGTCTAAGTACGGTTTGTTATATTATCAGTAGCTGGCACTCAGGGGAATTGGTTGTAATGTGGAAAATCCCTGTCAGAGCAGTGAAATTGAAATGTAAACAACAGTTAACTGGAAGATTTTGAAGAAAATTTATCACTGAGTCTAAAATATGGGTTTATCTTTAAAATACCCAAGACGGGCCAGCTACGTGATGCAGTGGATAGAGCACTGGTCCTGGAGTCAGGAGGACCTGAGTTCAAATCTGGTCTCAGACCAGACACTTGACACTTACTAGCTGTATGACCTTGGGCAAGTCACTTGCCCTGTTTGCCTCCGTTTCCTCATCTGTCAGATGAGCTGTAGAAGGAAATGGGAAACCGTTCCAGTATTTTTGCCAAGACAACCCTAAATGGGGTCACAAGGCATCAGACACAACTGAAATGATTGAATGATAAAACCTCCCAGGGTTGTTGGGAGGATCAAAGAGGTTTGTAAAGCAAACCTAAAAGTGCTATATAAATGTTGGTAGTTATTATTTCCAACCTCTTTTTTTTTTATTATTAAACTTTTTTTTTTTTTTTTTTTGTTTGGTGAGGCAGTTGGGGTTAAGTGACTTGCCCAAGGTCACACAGATAGTATGTGTCAAGTGTTTGGTCTGAGGCCGGATTTGAACTCAGGGCCGGTGCTCTGCCCACTGCGCCACCTAGCTGCCCCTTATTGCCAACTTCTAAAAGAGATCTTTAGCGGTTAGTCAAACCTTCTGCCCTGTGCAGGGATCCCCTCTACAAGCTTCATGTGATTCTATCTCATTTTTAATATAGTAATACCTAAAATTAGAGGCAGCGAAGCTATATAGTGGATAGAGAGCCAGTACTGGCGTCAGGAACAACTGAGTTTGAATCCTGCTGTAGAAACATGCTAGCTGTGTGGCTGTGGGCAAGTCATCTGACCTCTTTTGGCCTCAGATCTTCCTGACTGTGGGTCTTCCTCTGTCTACTGTACCTTGTAGCTGCCTCACCTAGGCCTTCTTTCTGATACTCACTAATTTACATTAATTACATTCATCAAGAAATGTTTGTCTGCCATTGGCTTAATTCGGTTGTATCCTTCTTCTCTTGTAAAATACACTGCTGAGGGCTTGAGTGTGCTCTGAAGGCAGCGAGGTTAAATTCCTTTGGATGAGTCATCATCACCTAGGAGGAGAGTCATTTACTTTGGAAAATCTTAAGCTGATTTCCGTCTTGGGTTTTGGTTGCAGCGGAGATGAATCACTTTCACAGTAACCGGATATATGACTATAACAGTGTCATCCGCCTGTATCTGGAGCAGCAGGTACAGTTTTATGAAACGGTAAGTTGGCATTCCTTTTTCAAACATTTGCACTGGTGGGCTCAAATGAAGATTACTTGCAATTTTGGAAGTAAGGTGTTGAGCCTTTTTAAATTAAGTTATGAGAGGTGATTTTTAAAAAATTATTATTGCTTTTATTTTTACATCACCATCATATTCAAATCGACTTCCCTACTTCCCTGCTCAGTGAACCATTTCTTATAACAAAGAATAAAAAAAAGAGAAAAAGTAATTCAGTTAAACCAGGGGTGGGGAACCTGTGACCTCAAGACCACGTGTGACCCTTTAGGTCCTCGAGTGAAGCCCTTCCATTTGGATTCCATCAAAGGGCCGCACGTGGCCTCGAGGCCGAAGGTTCCACACTCCTGAGCTAAACTGACTGGTATATCCACTGAGTCCCCACTGAGTCTGAAAGTTTATGCAGCGTTCCGAGTCCATAGGCTCCCACCTCTGCAAAGAAGGGAGGGAGGTCGTTTTTTTTTTTTGTCATCTTATGGCCAAGCTTGGTCATTAACAGTGTCCCATTTCAGGTTTTTGTTCTTTTACATCACTGTCCTGGTTCTGCTTGCTTCACTCTGTTATTCTATTTTAAGGCTTCCAGAGCTTGGATAAATTTAATTTTTATGACACAGTGATATTCTGTGGTAGTTGTATTCCATAATTTGTTTAGCCGCCTCTCCACAGTCAACAGGCATCTACTTTGTTTCAAAATCTTTGCACCACTAAAAGTGAAAAGTGCTGATGTGATTATTTTGGTGTGTATTAGAACTTTCTTCCTATCTTTGAGCTCCTCGGGGTGTATGAGTAGCAGTGGCATCTCTGGAATATATATCTCAGTCACTTTCCTAGTTGCATTCCAGATTGCATTTTGGAATTTTTAGACTAATTCTCAGCTCTCCCAACAGTGCATTAGCATATCTATCTTTCCTCTGGTTTTTGACATCTTTGCCAGTTTTGCTAAATGTGAGGTGAAACCCGAAGCCTCAAGTTATTTCGATTTGAATTTCTCTTATTATAAGTGATTGGGAGAGGCGGTGAATATATCAGCTTCTTTTGAAAGATCTCTAGTTTTTGCCTTTGATTTTGCTCCCTCGATACCAGAAAAACATTTTGTTCTTCTAAAGGAGAAAGAATCTTGGATTCTTAAAACCCTAAGAATTCCCTATTTTGTTCCCACCTTCCGCCTCACTTAATGGCCAGTGGACCGCATATGAATCATCCATTTCTCTGGGTACCAGGAACACTACTAAATGAGATGAGATCATCCCATCACTATAGTAGGCTTTACAGTGACTCCTCAGCAGGGAAAGGAGACTGGAATAGAGATTAAACCCAGGGCCTTTATTTCTTTTTGTGAAAGAGGAGTTTCACAGTCAGCAAGCATTTTGTGTACCAGAAGGAGATTTAAAAAGAAAAGCAAAGCATCTCTCTCTTTCTCTGTCTCTCTCTCTCTCTCTCTCTGTCTCAAACACACACACACACACACACACACACACACACGACATAATACATAAGTAAGCTAACATTGCAGGTCACCAGACTGTATGTAAAGCAAATACATAAATGAAACAAACCTGAAAAGCTAATGAAGAGCCACGTTTTTGTTCTGCATTCCCCTAGGCATATACTCAGGCATCCAATCAGCTCTGTGTCACGTAGACTTGAGCAGCTGCTTTGCCTGCCCATTTTTAATTCCATGGAAACAGTGGAGCCATATCCATTATCCTAGGAGCGTTCCACCCTCATGAGAGCAAAGGTGACTGATAACTGACCCACCAGGGTTAAGTATCTTCTTTCCACCAATGTTTTAACCTGAGCAAAAAATTCACTGTATCCATCCACCCACAATGTCTTAAGCAGACATTGTGCTGAACACATGTGCCTCAAATATATTACTGTGCATACCACATATATTAGTGTACATACATATAAAAGGCAGCTCTGTCTGATGTGCCTCATCTGTGTATCTTTGTGAAGTTATCATCACAGCAAACAGATAAGGGGACATACCACCCATCTCTTAGTAGAGAGGCTGGGGACTACTGAGGTAGAAGCTAGAATGTCTTTATATCAGATGCAGTCACTATATTGGGTATTTTTGCTTAGTTCTTTTACTTTGTTGAAACAGAGATTCTTAACCTTGTTTGTATCATGGATACCTTTGGCAGTCAGGTGAAACCTATATAAAATACACAGGATAACAAAGGAAACCAATTACGTTGAAATATATTTATCAGATTTAAAAATTTTTACATATATGTAAGTATATTATACTTATTTATTATGTATTTACATAATATAAATGTGTATGTATATAATACATATATGTGAATATAATATTATAATTACATATATTATTTACATATCTTATGTGAGCCTCACAAAACCTTAGAATAGATACTATTATACTCCCTGTTTACAGATAACGAAACTGAGGCCTTCTAGGTCTTATGGACCCCAAGTTAAGAACCCCAATTTAAAGGAAAGGCTCAATCTTGAGGAGAGGTGGGGTACATACATAAATTACTATGACATAAAATTTAAAAAGCATCAATAAGTCTTAGCCTTTTAAAAAAAGTTTCTTTTATTCATTTTTTTAAAAGTTGGTAACAGAACTCTTGGAATTTAAGTAAGCAGCAGCCTCCCTCTTTGCAGTGAAGTTCATATATTTGGCATTAATCGTGTTTCATTACTGTACGTGTGTGGACGTTAGAGTGGCATGTGGCACCTGTGATCTTGGAGAGTCTTTGGTATTTGTTACCTCTTGGAATATTTGGTTCACTGAGTTCCAGGGATTTTCTCCATAAGGCTGAAGGAGCCACTGCACATGGTGATGGCCCACATCTAGTTCTCACTTCTAAATTGTAACCATTGTGGCTGCTGCACTTTATTTCACAGGATCATTTTAAGATGTCTTGAAATATTTTTATGGCGCTGAGTTATAGTAGTTGACAGACAACATTTTAGATTTAACTTAGGCACCTAAGAAAGTATGCCCTAACGTAAATGTCTGTTTTCAACAGATTCACAAATATTCTGAAACATTCAGAAAATGTTGCGGCTCATGACTTCTGCACGTAATTTGTTTTAACGTGTATTTTTTCTTCCAGATTGCAGAAAAGCTGAGGCAGGCCCTCAGCCGCTTTCCAGTGATGTAGACCAGGGACATGAAGAAAACTCCTAAGTGCTTCTTTCTGACTTGGGGCAATGCAATTTAAAGTTTGTTTTCTCTTCTTTTTCTTCTTTCACCATCCCAAAAAATTTTCGAAAAATAACTGAATTGAAGAAAAAAAAACCCCACAAAATTAAGATGTTTACTTTATTAAGCAGCCTGAATGCATCATTTATTCAAGGGTGTCCCTTTTTTTTAAAGTTCATTTTTCATATCCATTATTTAAAAAAAAAAAAATTTCTCTATTTTTGGAAAGGATTTCAGATTGCTGGGATTTGTTAATGAAAAATTAAAGAGTTTTTCCCATTGATTTTTGTATAGATTCCTAATCTCTAAGTCACATAAAATCTTCTCATTCTTATCCAATGTCAGATAAATACTAATTTCTTTAAAAACGTGAATATGCCAGAATAAAAATATATATATGTTTGTATATTTTTATAACTCTACAGTCTTTGGGGGATTCCTGTCTGCTGTTTAGCAAAATCCACATACATTTCATTTACACATTTGAAACGCAACTGCTTATATTTTGGGGGGCCAGGAGGGAGATGAAAAGGGAGCCCCTGGGATTTTTAGGTCTCTGTCATGTTCTAAAGGTATTTTACCATTTACCTCTTTAAAAGGATTCAAACCTCACAAAACAAGCTACAAAGTGCACACTTAGGTTCCTTTCCCTGCTTCTGTTTCCTCACCTAGCCACTGTCTTAAAAGTAATTTCTGCTGCACCGCCCTGGTGGCCCGTGAGGATTTGTGCTGCTGTTGCTTAGCCCCCATTGCTCCTTTCAAGTTGGAGTCAGGGGGTGATCATCAGTAGAAGTCATCGGTCGGCAGCATCATTGAACATCCTCTACTTCTGGTTTCCTCCCCTCCACTGAAGAGGCAGCCTGATGATAGTAGATACACTAGGTGTAGAGGGCACTTTGGGAGAAAAGGAGTAAACTGAACACTCCTCTCCCATGTTTCCACCCTTTTATTCCTCTCGTTGTTCCACCCTCACCCAGTTATCACAACGTGCTGGTGATGGTGTAACCCCGAACAGGTACCGAATCTTTCTGTCGTAGCATAGTACCCCCATGGGATAATCTTTTCATCTGGGAGAGTGGGGGAGAGATGAAAAACATAGTTCAGTCGCTTAACAGCCAAAGAGGAAAAGGACCTTCCACTATCCCACCTACCTCCCACTCCCATTCTTCTGCCACAGCAGTGGAAAAGCATGGAGACTACCTTTCAGGTGATAGATACGGTGTGAAGTCTGAGTAATGGACAGTAATTCTCAGTGCTTTTGTGTTCAAGAGGAGGTGAGAGGACACCGTTTTCCCACTAGTTGTATCCTATGCACAGCCTACTTCCAGTAGAATTGCTCCAGCTGCCTGTATTTCCACTTACTGCCGAATATATCCTTGACAAGTCAAGTGACTTAACCCTGAGGATGATGCATCAGGAAATCCTATTACTGCAGAGAGGCAGGGAATGTTATCTTAGCTCTGGAGGCTCTCTTACTCCACTGTCATACATTGCTTTCATTTTTCTGTATTAATGGTTAGAGAAAAGGGAAAAATAGAGGTCAGCCTAAGATGAAACCAAAAAGAAATCCGATAAAATGAGGGTGAGTATGTGAGAACATCTTACACTTTAGTGTCAGGGGTTTTTGTTAATATTTTTATAAATAATTCCCCCCCCCCAAGTTTTCCTTTTATAAAATTCCATAGAGCCATGTTTATGATACAGCCATTTAATATATGTACAAATTGTAAAGAATGTGTATAAATATTTTACACCAAATGCATGTAGAAGCAACTTATAAAATAAATTGTTAAAAACTGTACAGTAAATTCTCAAAGCACTTTTTCAAAACAATACTTCAGCATTTTTATTTTTTTCCACTTGAATTGTTTGTATATTGTTTCTGAAAAACAGGATGGGGTGTGATTTTAAGTTTTGCTTTATTTTCAAATTAGAATCCACTTTCTCTCCCTCCTATATCCCCTTCTCCTTACCCCTAGTTGAGAAAGCAAGAAAATAACCTTGTTATACACATGTGCAGTCCAATTTTAAAAGTTCCCACATTGTGTCCCAGGCACTGTGAACTAAAATAGCTCACTCTTATAGGGAGACAACAAGCAAACAGATATGTACAGACAGACAATATACAGGATGCAGAGTCAGTTAGCAGAGAGAAGGGATTGGGAAAGAATTGCTGTACAAGGTGGGGTCATAGCTGGGACTTGAAGGAAACCAGCAAAGACACGTGACTGAGATGAGAAGGAGAGAGGATTTCAGATGAGGAGAAAAGCCAGATAAAATGCTCAGAGCCAAGAGATGGGAGTGTCTTGTTTGTGGAACAACATGGAGGCCTGTTTTGCTGAATCAAAAAGTCCTGAAGAGGAAGATTAGGTGCCAGAGAGTAAGGAGTAGGAAGATTGGAAAGGTGGTGGTAGGGAAGGGGCCTCTAGGATATGAAGGGCTTTGTGATCCTGAAAGTGAGAAGGAGCCCCTGGAGTCGACCCATGCTTTAGGAAAATCACTTTAGTGGTTGGAGGATGGATTGGAGTGGGGAGAGACTTGAGGCAGGCCGACCCATCAGCAGACCATGGCATTAATCCAGGTGTGAGGTGATAAGAGCCTGCACTAGAAAGGTAGCAATGTCAAAGGAGGTGGGCTTATCCAAGAGATATTGCAAAGGTGAAATCAACAAGCCTTGACCACAGATTGGGGGTGAGGGTTTGAAAGACCCAGGTACTCTGAGGGACTGGGAGGTTGGGGGTACCCTCACCATTAATAGGAAAGAAAGGTCAAGGTCTCAATTCTTTAGCTGTGTAGTAGTTGAAGTTAACCAAAGACTGTAGGGTTAGGTTATAACAGTTTTTTTAAGTCTTAAAGTCTTTACAATCTTTTAAAAATGGAAAAAAAATTATATCACCTATATTTCCCACTATATCTCTCCCATAGTATCTCTTAATTATCCATTTACATCTGAGGAAGTGGATTCCTGGGGAGTTTTGCTTTAACCCCAAAATGAGTCCATTAGGTAACAGGCAAACCAAGAGACCCAGGGAGGCTAATTTAATTCATCTGGGTTAAAAGTTAAATCCAGCCCCACTCACCTAGTTGTGTGACCCTGTGACCTAGTTAATGAAAAATTTTTTAACGGGGTGTACTTGACCTCAGTCCAAGGTACCATGACTTCTGGTGTAGCCATCCGGGGGGAGCAAAGCTCCATAGCCTTGGCCAAGAGAACCCTCACTGAGAAAACTCCAGAAGTGTTCCCAGCACATGTCTGGTTAGCCAAGAAGATTGAAGCCAGCTTCCTGATTTTTAGCTGAGAAGGCTAATAGCCATTGACAGAGAGCTGAAGCAAACTTCGTAGTATCATAGCTAAGGCCCAGAGGAAGAGTCAGTAACAGAGAGGAGATTTGAGCCCAGGTACTCTTGACTCCAAATTTAGTCTTCTTTCCAATGAACCAGAAAGTCCTCTACTGGCTGATAAACTCATTCTTTCTGCCTGGGCAGAAGATTGCTAAGAGCAGGACCTCATAGCTAAGACAAAAAGGAGGCTAAAAAAAAAGGCTGACAGAAAAAGGGAAAAATCAGTAGCCTCTTTTCTGAAGGGTAGAGGTTCATAAACCACAGCGACCTTCCTGGTGGGTGTTATTTCAAGGCATTAGGAGCCTTTGATAATTATTAACCAGCATTGATAACCATCTACAGCAGAGTGTAGCAGGAAGCAGTGTAATGAAGTCTGAGTCAACAGGCACAGTGCTAAGCTCTGGAGATAGAGAAAAAGGCAGAAACAGTCCTTGCTCTCAAGGAGCTCACAGTCTAATGGGAGAGACAACATGCAAACAATTACGTTACCAACAAGATATATACAGATGAACTGGAGATGATCAGCAGAGGGAAAGCAGTAGTATTAAGGGGGACACAGAGAGGTTTCAGTTGAATGATAGGGTGGAGACCAGACTGCAAAGATTTAAGAAGAGAGTAAGAGGAAGTGGAAACACCTGCATTAGAGTGTAACCATTGCTAGAAAAGCTGACCAGAAAGGCTGTAGCATCAGGAGAATGAGGTCTCAGTAGAATGGATCAAGTAAGAGGAAAAGAATGAATTCAGGTGCATTACTAACTTCCCTAGGTTTCTGGCCTCGGGGTGGAGACTTCTCAGGACTTTGGAAATCAGCAAGAAGTAGCTGGAAAGCTGGCTAGGGATGAGGGTGGAGGGGACAGAGAGGAGGTACCAAAGCCCAGGCCAGGGAATGTGATGGAATGAGTTTCCTTCCTTCTGGGCAGGGGATATTGGTAGAAGAGATCAGAAGCTTTATGGTGTGGGAGGTAAGTTGTATGTCCTTATTTATGCCCTGGTTCCACAGGTTCCTCACTTATACATCCCCTTCATGGAGATGCCCTGGCCACTTTTGTTTCCCCATGGATAATCACTGTGAAGGTCCACTCTTCCACAAAGTGTGTGTATTGAAAGGAGAATGAAATGAAGATTTAGGGGGTAGTAGGGAATGTCATCGCTAATTAAAATGTTATAAAATGAGGGTGCTATCTGGCTATTAAAAAGTAAAATGCATTGTAGGGGCTCATGAACAATGGTTTGAAAATTATTCTAACACAAAATGTATAGAACCTTGACCAGCCAAGTGGTGGGCCTGGGGCAGAGGGGGGCATGGGGGGGGCAAGAATGGGCCACATAGGATTTGGGAGAGAAAGTTGGCATATTTTAGTAAAAGAGCAAATCTCAGTCCTATTCATTTTGTTAGCTTCATAGGTCATGGCTATATTTGTGTTAGGGTCATATAATAGTAACTCTGATGGGGATATGCATTATAATTGAATTTCAAATTAATCCCTAAACTGGATTAAAAAAGAATTTGAGAACCCCCACATGATAGTAATCATGCTATTGATACCATTGAGAAAATATATAATGATGAGCTACTGTAAATTTGGTAACAGAAGTAAATTCATATTTTGTCGGTCATAATAGCATCTTTTCTCCTTTTTTTTGCAAAATAGTAATACAGTATGTGTTTGAGGTTATATATGTATGTATTATAGACATATATATATATATATATATATTTTTTTTTTTTTGCTTTTTGATGAGGTAGTCAGGGTCAAGTGACTTGCCCAGGGTCACAGAGCTAGTGTCATGTGTCTGAGGTTAGATTTGAACTCAGGTCCTCCTGACTCCAAGGCCAGAACTCTATCTACTGTGCCACCTAGCTGCCCCAAGACTATCTATTGTAATACAATAGGTGTACATAAGGCATTCCTTATGTTCATGGATTAGCAGACCATCTGAAATCAGTCCATGGCTCCCCAAAGGGGTCCTTGGTGTATAAGCCACTCAGTTGTTAGGAGCCACTCAATTAGATGATCTTTAAGGTCATTGAGCAATACTAGCAGGCCATGACCAAAAATGCAGAGCACACTGTCGCTAG